AATGAAACAGGCCCATTTTCTTGTTTCTGATTAATTATTTTCCAGAGTCTCTTGTTTGTGTCGCTCTATTTCTGCAGTTCTGAAGACTTGACACTTTACAATACTTCCTCATACATTATGAGTGGAAATGAGTTTATATTAATTCTTACAATGTGACAAATGATCAAATAATTGTGATATATGTATGATAAATAACTTAAGAACAGAAGTTAACTTAACGCTCAACATAGAACATAGATGTATGCACAATGTCAACTTTTAATATTTGCCAGTGTTGTAGCTGACCCCTAAAGGATGCCACACAAGAAATGAAGTGAAGTGTTTTTTTGTTGTTTATGATTTATGACATTATAAAATAATTATTAAATAAAAAAATAATGTGAATGTGAATATATAAAATATAAATATAAAGAGTGAATATTGGACTTACATTCATTACGTGGACAGAAACATGACTCCAAATTGTTTCTCCGGGTCTGCTGTGACAAAGACTTGTTGTGTTATTTTAGATTCTGATCTGATATATTTGCCCATAGTGGCTATACGTACCACAGATGTTCATATCAGTAATCCCTTGTACTTAACATAAATTCAAACATAGAAACAGTGGTAGGCTTTAAAAGGCCCTTGAAAATCATTAATCTTGGCTAAAACATAACCTTACCAGACAGAGGTGTGAAGAGATCTTGTACCACGACAATATCCGGAGATATTTCTCTGTGAGATGAAAAGCTGTCTCACAATATCAGCATGACAGAGTATAAGGGTGAAACAGACACAGACACACACACTATTATTCCAGTCAGTCATATATTTTGTATTTTGAAGATTTCTTAAAAATAGGGTTAAAATTTCGTCTCACCAATATCGTGTATTGTCTTGTCTCGTGAGTTAGGTGTATCATCACACCCCTATTGCCAGATCTACCCATCACTCTAGAATAAACCCATTCCTATTGCCAGCTAATTGTGGAAAACTGCAAAAATAGCAGTTACCTGGACTCCTGTTCTTTGTATTTGCACAACCCTCTGACAGACTTTTGGTTTCAATGTGAGCTGATCGGTCATTGGATGTCCTGATGGAGACTTGATTCAGCAAACCAATAGTGAAGTGTTAGAGGGAAAAACACGTAGGAACACGTAGGAATTTGAACCCAAGTTCACTGTTTTCATCAGGTTCACATGCTTCTGCTTGAAGCTATTCAAGCAGAATCGTGTGAACCTGATGAATTCATTGGCTATAATGCTATCCGTGGAGTGAGCATCTATGACTCTTAAGAACTCCTTGAATATTGAGAACAGCTAAGCCTATCCTCAGGACAGAGAGCCTGCTAACAAGTACTTTACACAGCATGTGCTCTGTTAAGTATGCTTAAACATATGTTTTGGATCCATGAGAGGTTTGACTTTAGTTGTCTTTGAAGATAATCGCCCATGTCGTCTCAAAATACGCATTTTTATATTTTTGAGTTCCCCATATGTCTGTGTATATGTGCTTCTGTAGGATACAAAGATTCCAAATGTCCTACCCTGAAGGCTTTGAGTCATTAGGCTCCCTTGCCAAATTTTCCACGATTGTTTTTATTTTATACAGGGAATAACATATCTGATTACAGGTATTTATACATTTAGTTGTAGGAAACAAAAGCCGCGTTTCGACCAAAAGTACCATGTATGTTCACACACAAACTATGTGTTGTAGAAAATTCCATTCACATTGAGGAAGTAAAGTTCAAAGAGGTGTGTACTTGGGCTTGCACACAGTGAGTTGTCGACAGCTATATTAAATCTCTCTTAGTTGCCAACAGTGGTGTGGTTCCACAGTTCCGCATTCTAAATCTATGTGATTTTATGTGTGTTCATGTGCATTTAATGCTGTGTTTTCAAGGGGCATGCCACTGATTTTATTTATTAAGATCAGTTTACTCGTCATGGGAAGTACTACTCACCCAGTTGAATAGTATCTTCAGTGGCTCTGGAGACAACTTGGAAAGACGTGGGAATTTAAAAGACAGGGAGGGTCTGATAAAGAGACGTTTTAAGATACATCGTGGGAAGTGTGGGATCCAACTGTTTTGGAGCTCAACATATCTCAGTTTCTGCTGCTTTTATTTGACAAATCCAATTTTTAATCTGTCTCTTGTGCCTCCCCAAGGTTTACATTTTAAGTACAATATTAAACCATCCTGGTTTTTCCATCTGCTATCAGTCATGTCTACATAGGATAAAAAGAAGAATTGGGAACAAGCAAGATGTGCTGGTCATCTTTCAAGATCAAGATTAACTTTATTGTCTCACAAATTTGAAAACATTTCACATAAAAAATATACAAAGGTTTAAAAAAACATGCAAATGCAAGCAGCTCTGCAGGTCATCTTTTAGTACAGATTATTTTTATTCAGCAAAGCAAAGCAAAGCATAGAATTTAAGGATGTGTGTGTGCCTCTTGGAGATTGCCTTGTACAAGGAGAGTCTGCCCTTCAGATCCAGCCTCTGTGCTGTCAAGAATCTGACCAGCTGAAGTGTCTTTAAGAACGCCTCTGAACTCTTAGCAGCTCCTAAGAGAATGCTGTATAACTGACAGCTCTACTGAGGCACTGTATTATCTCCAATATATTGGATCTTACTTCACATAAATGTCATAATTGTGGTAGTGCATTTTCTCCATTTTGTCTAGCAAAATGTTATTAGAGAAATGTAAGATAACAATGGCTTTTATCATTTATGTGAAATTAATGAACTGAACAAGGTTCCTATTATTTTGTACAATAATATCAGGAGGTTTACTCTTCACTTATACCTGTTTCTGTTCTGTCACTGCGGTCAAGTTAATATTAAAATAAACTGTTGTTTAAAGGTCCAGTGTGTAATATTTCTGAGGATCTATTGACAAAAATGCAATATAAGATCTACATGTTTTCAGGTTTGTACAAAGACCTTACATAATGAACCGTTATGTTATCATTTCCTTAGAACAAACTCTTATTTTCATTATCTACATCTTTCATAGCCAAGGTTGTATAGAGTGAATTCTAGAAACAGATTATAAAGAGATGGTATCATGCTCATTTTCAGGTTCAAAATGTTATTTAGAGGTTATACCAGAACAGGTCTCCATGGTTTAATTTTCAAAAAACACCTTATTTTTTTTCATACTGCACATTGCTGCAGCTCCTCTTTTCACCCTGTGTTGAAGGCTTCGTTTTAGCTATGGAGTGGTACATTTTGTCTCTAAATGATCTTTGTTGGGAGTTGCACATGGCAGTTCCTAGTTAAGGACTACTAGCCGATCAGAAGCAGAGAAGGGCGGGTCAGTGACCCACCCAAAAAGCATAATACCACCTCTTTAACATTTCCTCACATGAGATGTTGACGATTTGACAACATGTTTAGTGTTAAAGCTCTTTGATTTACTGTAAATACAAATTAGGGGCTATATCTGTGTAGTAATGCATGTAAACATTGAAACATTGTGTACTACATGCATTGCCAAACACACACACACACACACACACACACACACACACACAGGCATACATGCACACACTCCACTAATGAGGATGGAAATTTTTCTGTTTCTCTGCTGTCATCCCCGTCTGTATCCCCACCACCAGCTGTCACAAGTAAAAAGTTTTCTTTTTTATCCTTTCTCAGCAAGCAATCAAATACAAAGTCACATCTCACGTTCATTTGAGTCCCGCTGTTCTCCTCTTCAGAACACTCTACCATTACTTCCTTCTCCCCCCCATTCTTCTGTTCGTTTCAAGTGTCTTTATTGAATCTTCACCTATGGATGACCGGGTATGTGACGCAAATGGGCAGCTGTGGCTCAGGGGATAGAACGGGTTGGCAGTTATTTGGAAGGTCAGCGGTTCAATCCTGGCTCCCCCCGGCTGTATGTTGAAGTGTTCTTGGGCAAGATACTGAACCCTGAATTGCCCCCGCCAGTGTGTGAATGTTAGTTTCTGTTTGAGCACTTAGGCATGGTGAATGCAGATATAGTGTAAAAGTGCTTTGAGTGGTCAAAAAGACTAGAAAGGTGCTATACAAATACGGAGCATTTACATACATATGTGTATGCAGGACCAGAAGGTGAGCCTTCGCTCAATGTGAAAATTGCAATCAGCATGTGGGTGTGTCGGTGTACCACAGTATAATGCCATAAGAATTGCTACACCTTGCTATCCAATGTTCAATTCAGCCTGGTTAAAGGATGAATTCACACAATATTTTCTCACTTACTGCTGTCTAGCCATGCAAATTTGATCGATTCAACAGCAACCTTTCATTTCAGAATCAATGTCCCCGTCACTCTGGATGATCCACAAACCTCCAATGGACAGATTAAATTGGGACTAGTTTCTACCAAAGAAATAGCTCCAATGCAAACTGTTCACAGTGAGGTTTGTGGATTGTCCAGTAGCAGGGACAATAATTATGCAAAGATATGTTGTCTTTGATTTCTTTAAATTACATTTTTCAGTGGAAACTAAATTGCATTCACCTTTTTTGTACTGAGGAAGAAACGCAAGAACATAAAGCAAAAACTATCTGCAGAGGCAAGTAAAGAAGTATGATTTTTTTTTTTTTATAATTTGGGTGAACCGATATTTAAAATCTTCACTGCAATATTGTAGCCCAGTTGTAGCTTCCTCCTGCCTCAGCATGATGTGGAGCCTATAGCCCCCCTTTGAAACTTAAAAAAGAGTGACACACATTCTCCCTGTCTCTCTCTATGAGATTTCTCTATTTCTTCCTTCTCTATGTTGCTTTCACCAGCAGGTCACTGGGTAACAGAAAAGCAGCCCTGTGTGTTCACACAGTAGCATCTCTGTTGCAGTTTGGACTCTGATCCCCATCAGCTGCCGGTTGCTTGGCTAACTGTGCGACACTGTGTCACTTTGCCTCACTTCTTCAAAGCCAGACACCTGTTCCATTTGTGTCTTAATATAGTGCTCCACTGACCCCAGTGTTTGTGTTGGTGTGTTTTTTCTTCTGCAGTGGAGCGATGCATGAGTGTGATGCAGTCCGGGACACAGATGGTAAAGCTGAAGGCGGGATCCAAAGGGCTGGTGAGACTCTTCTACCTGGATGAACATTGCTCCTGCATTCGTTGGAAGCCATCACGCAAGAGTGAGAAGGCGAAGAGTGAGTAACAATGTACAGTATATAACAATGTAACAATACAACAATTTAACGATTATTCTGGTTTATTACAGTCAGTCCACATCATTACATCATTCTACATTGCACTGATTAAGTTGAAGGGGCACTCCACTGATTTAACACGAGTTTACTCATCACAAAGAGAAGCACTCAGCCTGTAAAAAGAGTTGTTTAATGTGTTTTTTGTGGGCTCTAGATGGAGCTTGTAAAGACTCCAAAATTGTGACAGTTGTTGAAAGACAAGTGTCCAGCAAAAGACATTATGGAATTTTTTTGCCATATGCATAACAATTACAGTGATGCCGTCATATGAAGCAAAGTTACGTAGCTGGTGTTGATCTACCTCTGAGATTGGAACATTGAAGAAACAGAGCCTGAACATGTTTGAGTGAAAAGCCACAGCCTGCATGCAGGTGTTCCTGCGTTTATTGCAGGATTTCTGTTCTGAAAGCGGTTGTTTCGGATTATGCTCGCTCATGAGTTCAAGCGAGCACGCGGACGAGCACACACCTGGTTGCAATCTTAGAACCGCACCGCTAGTGGCTGCTGGAAACTCCATAATGCCCCTTTAAAATGAAACAATCCACTTGCAACAACTACAGCAAGGTTAGTTAAAGGTCATGGTCTTGGTTTAACACAGAAAAAGTCAGCAGTGACTTGAAGCATGAGACGCAATGTTTTTATTAACATTTAATCAAAACTGCAATCTTTTCCTAACCTTAACCAAAGTGCTTTTGCTGCCTAAACTGAACCACAAATGGGACTCAGGATGTGAACACTGCACTATGCCTTGTGTTTGCAGAAGTCAACAATATCTTTAGCAAGTGCAATGTTAAAACCGCTAGAATTGATGACCAAAAATAAGACCCATGTCAATAAACTGGAAATATTATTAAACTTACACAATAATAATAATTTTATTTCTGTAGCATGTTTTATTTATTTTTCCATGTATTCTATCTATACCCTCCTTTTTTTCCTAGAATTTTTCTAAAATTCGAGTCAGAGACACTGCTCTAGCTCTGAGCGGATTATCATATATTTTATCATTTATATCATTGTCCTTTTTTTACTTTACTGGTCTTATCAACCTACTGAAGCACACATCTGTCTATGGACCTGTACTTACATCTGTATAAATGGCAGTGTGTACATGTATGGATTAGATAAGCCTCTTAGATCCTCTCCATTGACATGAATAAAAGAAACACACAACAGCTGCCCAGTTCTGTCTCTGAATGTTTGTGCCAGTGTGTGTGTTATCTCTCTGAGCAGGATCAAAATAAGGCTTCCATATTGTTGCTTTCAGTCAGAGCAGAATTTCAGAGATGAGATTATGTAAAGGGATGAGAGAACTGAGTGTAATAAGGAAATGGACATGGATAATTTTGGAATGGATTATTTTGGGGCGGGTAAGAAGGCAATTCATTTAATAAAATCATCATATAGTTAATTCTTTAATCAATTAATTAAACATAATGGTCCATTGTTCTGGGCAAAACACATTAGTGCCTTGATGAGAGTCATTATTGAATAGTTTTAATAGAAAGAGTCACCTTTAACAACACATTAATAGATCACACCCGAGAAAACATGCAAGAGACAGATGTGTAGAACATTCCTGTATATAACAGGACATAGTTTACTGCAGGCTGTTTCTCTTTTTCTCTGTTTCTCTAACAAAGAAACAGAATCAAAGATAGCTGACTTTATACTCCAATCTCATTAGACCGTGATAGACTCTGAAGCCTACAGGAACTGCTTATATTTTTATAATGGTAGAGAAAAGCAGAGGAACTGAGGAACTCACATAATTTTGGTTGTTTTTTCTAAAAGCTATGCAAGCCTTTGCTGACTGATTATTCTGCCTGCTTCATTCCTCTGTCATTATACTATAATGGGAGATGTCAAGCACGTGTTTACAGTATTACAGGCTAAGGTTGGTGTTAAAAGACCAAAACCTCTGTTTTTTCAATACTTTCCGACTTCCCCACCCTGTCTGTGCCTTTCAGCCTCAAGCCCATTCATCTCAACTGAAAAGAAAGTCTGCAAAAACAAGTCACACATACATAGTTTCACCATTTTTAAGTGCTACAGTGTATCTGGGATTGAGTCAAATGATGGAATATGCCATCCATTGCAATAGTGATTGGGCCCAAATGCAGAAACCAGAGGCAAAGCAAGTACAGTTAATTGATTTATTAGAAACTCAAAAGAGGCAAAAGCTTACAGAGTGGTGATGAGGTAGGCATGGATTAAAACCAGGTGAAGCATTCCAACACATGCAAACAAATCCAAAGTCCAGAAAACAGGCAAAGTCCCAGGGAAACACTATCAAAACTATAAAACACTTCAGAAAACACTGGGAAAGGAATATTAGAAAGAAGGCTGGACGGAAGGTCAAAAGACACAGGTGGGAAAATCACAAGGGGAGGAAGTGAAGTGGTCAGGAATGAGAGGAAAGGTGATTATCAAAGAAAAACAAGAAACACAGAATGAATATATGCCCCAAGGAAAATCATAACCTAAGATATGAACGAACAGTGACAGTGAAGTTAATAAAGACACATGAGGAAGGGTTAAACAAAATAAAACAGAAAATACAAAACAACATGCTACACAGTAAATACTTATTCATAGGATAAGTTCATTGTTGGTTTTAGTCTGTTAACTAGAGACAGAAATCATTAACCCCTTGATGCCAGAATTTATTTACAATAATTTTTTTATTTTTTTTATTCTGTTTTCATTTGCTTTCAGGTTGATGTTAAATTAAGTGGAAATTGTTCATTTGTCGATAGAACATAGAAAATAAAGAAATTTAGGTATGATGTAGGTATGATGCAAATTAGCGACAACAGGCATAAACAAGAAACCAGTGCTTGCAAAAGGTTCCCAGGTATGTAATCAATATGCACAAACAGGCATTTGGGGAATACAAACGCTATCTCAGCTGTAGTCTGAAAGGAAGAGGTGTGATGCGAATTTGCAGCAACAATCGGCATTAAGGGGTTAATGAGTGCATTTTATTTTCTTTTCCATCCCACTTTCTCTCCCTGTCAGTCACCATTGATTCGCTGTACAAAGTGACAGAGGGTGGTCAATCGGACATCTTCCATCGGCATGCAGATGGCAGCTTGAACCCGGCCTGCTGTTTCACAGTGTACCATGGAAACCACATGGAGTCCCTTGACCTGGTGACATCAAATGCAGAAGAAGCCAGAACCTGGATAACCGGCCTCCGCTACCTGATGGCCGGGATCAGTGATGAGGACTCGCTGGCCAAACGGCAGCGAACACACGACCAATATCTTTTAAACAAAGAGCTACACATAAATCACCAAAGATGGAGGAAGTATTCAGATCCTTTACTGAAGTAAAAGTACTAAGACCACACTGTAAAAGTCTTTCATGGAAAATGCACATTAGTATATAAGTATAATCAGGAAAATGTACTTAATGCAGAAAATATTATCTTATATGTCTTGTCATTAGATTATTAGTACTCATTCATTAATGTAAAAACAGGACTGTTGTAGTTAGTTGAGGTGGAGCTAATTTTCAACTCTTTTGTATAGAACGGCAAAAACGATTGATTATTTCCATTATGGATTCATCTGCTGATTATTTTCTTCACTAATAGATTGATTGTTTGGCACTCTCACTGAAACACACTCTAAAAACAGTACTACTAGTGGCATATTATTTGTTTGGCTCGAACGAAATCACCGGTCCAGTAATATTTTATATTATATATTTTAAGAATTTTATATACACATATACACATAATACGCACCTCATTTTCCTTAACGTGTGTGTGACGTGGCTGAAGCAGACGTTTGAGGAGGCTGATAAGAACGGAGACGGACTCCTGAACATTGAAGAGATCTACCAACTTCTCCACAAGCTGAATGTTAACCTGCCACGCAGGAAGGTCAAACAAATGTTTCAGGTCAGAATATGAAGCCATTTCAGTTCATTTACTTTTTCAATCCTCCATACTTTATAAGTAGTAGTCCCTACAATCAAGCAACCTACAATAAACTACTAGGGTGGGATGCTAATTGAAAAGATACATCTAAGCAGAACAAAAAGACAGACTCAAACAGATATTCACTATTACATCTCAAAGTAAATTGCTCTTACATTCATTTTCAAGGTTTCACCACATCGGTGAATACAAATTCATAACCAAAACATTTACATACATTTATCAAGCGCTCTTATTAAAAAAAACCATTGCTTTGATTTAATAGCCTTATGCATAAATATTTAAGATCACTGACGTCAAATTACTGATGCATTTTTTATTTTCATGCGCATTTGTGTAATTCAAATAAATGTGCAAGGAATATTTCACATGTTCATTCGTGAGAGAGACACTTTAAGAGGAAAAGGATGTGAAAGTGTAAAGAGAGGTTTGCCTCAATTTTTTAAATAGAAGTCACATTGATTAATGTCAGAAATCCAGATACAGACGGTGTCTACTGGCTTTTCTAATGTGAGTTATGATGAGCAATAACACTTTTTAAAAAAATTATATTACACTTTTCTATATATTGACCAGAAACATATTTTCCAAAAACATTTAAATTTTTTGCTTAGTGGGCCACAGATATATTTATATATAATGACATAGTAATGTAAATCTTTTATTAAAGTTCCAAGGTGAACCAGTTTTCTCGAGATTCAAAGAGACTGTCCATAGAAAATGTATTTTTTAGCAAACTTAAAAATGACAGTGCCTTGCATTATGTATTTTCATTTGATAAAACTGTCCAAACAAAGTGAAAGGCTCTTCTTCTCCACCCCAGGTAGTGTGGAGTTGATACAATGCCTTTCAAAGTAGTTTTAGCTCTTCAGAATAGGCTCAATAGTAATTTTGCACCAAAAAATAATTCACTCTTGGGATTAGATTAGACAGGAAATGTCATTAATTTATCTCTTTCCATTTAAGCATTGGCAGACAACAACATTGCCACCAGCTTGTGCACTAGCTTAAAATATCCTGAATCCTTTTGTTTTGTGTACATGCATTTCCAACGAAGTCCATCACAGTGATTTAGCCTGCTGGTTGTGTGTGGATTCTGTCTGTGATCGAGTCCCCAATGCCCACAGCGAGCTCATTATGGGAGTGTGATGGAGGCATTAGCTGGTATTATTAGATTTGGTGGGGAGTCGAATGGGCCCCCGTGAGGTCCAGGTAATATGAGGTGCTGGATCCCAGCGAGCAGGCAGGATAGAATGAGCAGTGAGCCATGCTGAGTGCGACCTCGGGCAACACGTAGTGAGATATGAGGTTGTGAAAGAAAAGAATTGTTGGGAGAGGTAATGTGTTAAGAGTCATAAAGTTTGTGTCTGTGTCTGTGTGAAAGACAGATGAAACAGCTGTTCCCCCGTGCACGCTTTCATAGCAAGTCTATACATCTTCTAATTTTAGACTACATGGCATGAGCTGACAGCGCCTTATCACTTTCAGTAATGATTGATTTTGGACCATGTATTACAGCCTGATAATCAGACTGAATTACCATTGCATTTCATATGCAGTAATTCAGTCTGACATTGTGTTCATGTTAGCAGATTTCTTATTGGAAGGAGAGTTATTTTTGCTTTAGTTTTGCCCTAACCAATCAAGTGACGTTTCCATCTTGCCATCATTCAGAGCAGACGCTGTATCCCGTAGGCAGCTAGGAGCAGCAACCTTTTTCACATTTATCAAAACAAAAAAAATTACAGCTACTTGTTCGGGTGTGTCAGTGTCACCCAGAGCCATTTTTCTGTCATTATTTTCCATGCATGATAGCAAGCTGCCTGTGGAAAAAAAATTACACCGCCATTCTTATTCTCACCTACTGAGCTCTGATTGGCCGACTGTTTCTACAACCAGGGGATCACTACCACTGAAAGACTTCAGTGGTAGTGATACCAGAAATATTTTAATTAGTGAGGGAATCTGGGACGTGGACGGCAAGACGTCAAGTCTAGAACCATATTATATACACCCATCAGCCATAACATTATGACCATGGACAGGTTACGTAAATAACACTAACTGTTACCATGGCACTTGTCAGTGGATGGGATATATTAGGCAGCAAGGGCCAAATTGTGATGGCCAGATGACTGGGTCACAGCATCTCCAAAACGGTCTGCAGTGGTCAGTACCTATCAAAAGTGGTCCAAGGAAAGAAAAGCGGTGAACACATAACAGAGTAATGGGCAGCCAAGGCTCAGTGATGCATATGGGGAGCGAAGGCTGGCCAGTGTGGGCCGATCCAACAGACAAGCTACTGTAGGTCAAATTGCTGGAAAAGCTGATACTGGTTCTGATAGAAAAGGTGGCAGAACACACAGTGCATACACAGTGGAGTCCATACCTCGGCAGGTCAGGGCTGTTTTGGCGACAAAAAGGAGACCTACATTGTGACAAGTGTTGTGCTAGGAGGTACTAGTGTGGAAAGAACTCAAGGTCAAAAATGTCACCTTGAACTGGAATCAAAGTGTAATAGCTTTAGATGTGTCACCAATGATATATCAATTCTTCACCCTCACAGGAAGCAGACACGGACGATCAGCAGGGCACGCTGACATACGAAGAGTTCAACGTCTTCTACAAGATGATGTCTCTGAGACGGGACCTATTCCTGCTGATGATGGCGTACAGTGACAGGAAGGACCACCTGACATCGGAAGAGCTGGCCAACTTCTTGCTCAACGAGCAGAAGGTGAGAGGTCACACTGGCCTCGGGTTAGAGCCAATAAAATGCTCAGCCACACATTTATTTGATGAGGTGTCTAATTTACTTCCTTTCCAATCAGCTGTTTTTAATTTGAGATACAGAAAAAGAGATTGATTATGTTCCTGTTGTCCCTCTCCTTAGTCTAACATGTAACTCCCTCTGTCTCAGCCATCTGCCTACAGGAATCTGCTCTACTAAGTCAATCTATCACGCCTAAAATTGGTTTGTCTCATGGGTGCCCTTCTCTTGTTCTTTACAGTTTTTCTTTGCTCTTTTTTTCTCTCTTACACTGCAATGGTGTCATTTTTCATCATGCTCCATTTACTGTCTCCAGCCTGCAATACTCAACATTGTACTGCTCTCAGACTGTGCTGCTTGTTTGACATGCCTGACAATAAAATTAATAGCAACACAAATGTGTTATAATAAATGGGAAATCATTCTGACTTCATTTAGCATTTACACTAGGATTAAATCATTGTTCACTGGCTCAATATGTATAAACCAGGTCTTTACATATTTTGTTCATCTTTTTCTCTATAGATGTCCAATGTGACTCCAGAGTATGTTGCAGAAATCATTGACAAGTTTGAAGTGTCTGACGAGAATAAACAAAGGGGCGTCATGGGGATAGAAGGTAACGTTCACCCATTTCATGTTTTCTTTCATATCTGTATTTTCATTCCAATTATGTCCATTTTTCATCGTGGGCTCAGATGTTTTTTCTCTTTTCTCCTCCCTGGATCTGTCATGGCACTCCATCAGTTCGTGACTTTATCAATTTCTCTGTTATTTTGTTTATAACAAGATCAGGTATTATAACAGTTTATGTCCTTTTATTTGGGAGGTGTCAACCTCTAAGAGTCAACCAGATAATGAGACACTGGCCAGCACACAAAACATATGCTAATTGCTCGCACCATTGTAAACACTGAAAGATGAATGAAGATGTTTATCAAAACAAGCTTGTTTTTAGAATGAAGGTATTAATTAAGTTTTGTTTATCATGCCATTCATAAAACTATCATGCCCAGCTAGCACAGGTTTACAAGTTACTACAAATTCAAGCCAGATTCAGAATGCTGTGGTTAACAATACTACAGAAAATGTAAAAAAGAAAAAAAAAAAGAAACCCAATTTTCATAATTTTCACTGTCACATTTCAGAACTCTATTTCCTACATCAAATTCATAAGAATATTTTATATTATATTTAGTAAATGCTTTATATATAGTTCATCTTGCCTTTTTTCAGGCTTGAGACTAAGTGAGCTAACAAAACACATCAAAATAAAACAACCATTCAATTGATCTTTTGGTCAAACTATTTTATGGAAAATTGGCATTAAAATTTAAAAAAGAAATTATATGATTCAGCAAAAAACAACAGCATAATTTTGGTAAAACAAGACGCAGCACTTGTGTCCTTTTAAAATGGTATTAAAATGTAAGGGCAATTTAAAAATAATTCCATTAACCATTTTCTCTTTTAATCAATTGACATTTATATCAACTCTGATTTTTTTTCTGATTTACTGTGAATCCCACCCTCATAATAAAAACCTTAAATCCAGACAATGCATAGCGGAAAAGATAAAATACTGACTGTTTTGGTACTTTGTCTTAGGCAAGTGTTCATCTCTGACATTTTAAGTAACACCACATGTAAATGAAGGGTACATTTTAGGGAGAAGAGGAAGTGAGGATTGAGAAGGGTAGCTGGGGTGAGAAAATTGGGAAGTCAGAATGACGGAAAGAGAAAATGAGAGTGTGACAGAAAGGAGAGGAGTGAGGAGAGGAGATGAGAGGGAGAGGAGGAGGGGTGAGACTAATCTTGTTGTTGGAGGCATGAAGGCTAACACTGTGTGTGTCTGACTGATCAGACCAGGATGCCTGATGCCTTTGCTGCAGGCTAGAGAAATGTGTGTGTTTAAACATGTATTGTGCACAGATGTGACAGTAATGTACAAACAGATTCACATCAACATCTTTTTACAGTGTGATGAACTGTTACAGTATGGATTCACACACACCTGTCTCTTTAAATCTTTAACTGTATAGGCCTATAGTCCAGTATAGATTGTATAAGCATTCATGTTACACAGTTTACTGTTAAAATCTGGACTTAGTCACAACGACGGTACCATGACGAGATTGCGTGTCCAGTCTGATGACTGACTTCCCATAGAAAAAATCTTTCCAATATTTGCATTACATTTTTCCATTTCTCCTCCTCAGTCTTCCTTTCCACATTAACTGTCTGCTTCTTTTTCCTTGTCTGCTTTCTGGATTCTCTCCTGCTCGGTATTCCTATCTCATTTGTATCCCTCCTCTCTGGATGAAAGGATGCTTTCTTCCCTCTCAGCCCTCTTCACGCTGTACCACCTTAGAAAAGTTGGCTGTGTGAAGTATATCCACCAGTAGCGCCGTTTTAAACCACAGTGCTCTGGTTTGCACATGCCAGTCTGTCACCCTTTGGTATTTTCCTGGAGATCAACCTGCTGAAGAAGAGACATATTGTAGATGTCACTGTTAGATGGTGTACGATATGATCTGGTGGCTGCTAGTTAATAGAAAAGTTTGTGTGTTTCAGTGTTCACTTTTATTTAAGGATATTAAAAACAGGCAACAGTGCTTGGTAAATCTGATGCAGCAGAGATGCAGAATCACTGGATGACAGGCGATATTTAAAATACTGTTTTGCTGTGTTCCACATGCTGACTTTTCCATTTTAGTAACCTGTATGCTAGTTATAACAATAACAATGTTATAACAATGCTAACGTACTGATTCAGGTGTTATGTTCACCATGTTCACCATCTTATTTTAGTTTGTTAGCATGCTAACATTTAATAATTAGCATACAAGTTACAGGCTACTGGGAATGTCATTAGTTTTCCAGGTATTTAGTCAATATTTGGACAAATTAAAATTCTAACGAGATGATGGCGCAAGATGAAAAGCCAGAGGATCACCAAAATTACAATTAATTCTGGGGCAATGATATTTGTACTTAATTGCAGTCTATAATAGTCGTTGGGATAGTTCACTCAAAATCTCAAATTTTAACCTCTTGGTGGCCCCAGAGAAAAAGTCAGGGGATAATCAAAGTCAATAGAATACCTCGTCTGGAAACCATGCATGTCTGTACAGAATTTTGTGCCAACCTAAAAGTAGATGTTGAGATAATTCACGTGATAAGTTAAAACTTTGACCTGCTGATGGCGCCAGAAAAATAGTCAGGAGATCACCACTGCCATTACAATTAATCCTATGGGAACCATAAATATCTGTAAAATTAAGAAAAAAAGTAAGTCTAGTATCACCTCACGGTGATACTAGAAGAGAAGTCAGTAGTTTATCAAAGTCAGTCACAAATATCTGTAGCTACAAAATATCACGGCAATCCACTGAAATACAATTTCAGTCTGGACCAAAGTTGTGTACTGACCAATCACAGGCAGCATTGCCATCCACAGAACTATGTTGCTAGGATGGCTCCAAACAAATGATGTCTGATCCCATATCATTTTTTATATCCAATATCCAAAGCGATAAAACATCCTTGAAACTAAGTAGAATTCTTTTTACAATGCCTGTTTTAATCCAGTATTATTTCCCCCATACATTTGTCTTTTCCTTCAGGTTTTACAAGTTTCATGCGCAGTCCAACGTGTGACATTTTCAACCCTTTGCACCATGAGGTGAATCAAGACATGGAGCAGCCTCTGTGTAACTACTTCATTGCCTCCTCTCATAACACATACCTGACTGGAGACCAGCTCCTCTCCCACTCCAAGACTGACATGTACGCCTGGGTGCTGCAGTCAGGCTGCCGCTGTGTAGAAGGTACGCAGACATCTGCATTAAAAAATGGATGCCATGCAAGGCTAGTCTGACTGTGCCTATAGGAAAAACACAGGTGTAAATAATACATTTTGAAAAAAAGATTCACTTTCAGGGTCTTGGTGTTGTTCATGCTGACATATATGACATGACAATGTCAAAATATCTGATGTGAAGAAAGCCTATTTTTATTGGATGAGCTGGCTTTAAAATTGCAACATCCTCCCTTTCACCTTATATAAAATGTTATCACTCTGTTTTACTCTAAAATTTTAATGAGTTGGCATTACATTTTTTTGAATTTTTTTAAATGAAAACCCAACACTCATTTTTGTGTTTATGTGTGGTAGTAAAATTTTAAACTGGCCCACAATGTAGCACAAATGTGCACATGCTATTGTTTGAAAATTAGATTTATTCACACCATTTTGTGCCCCAGAATAATTCAACACTAGTGTTAGATAGGAGAAGGTGAAACAGTAACATGGTGCAGTGTTTTATTCGTGCATCATTTCTCCTGTTTTTTTCTGCAGTGGACTGTTGGGATGGTCCAGATGGAGAACCGATGGTCCAACACGGCTACACTCTGACCTCCAAGATACCGTTCAAGTTTGTCATAGAGACCATCAATAAATATGCCTTCATAAATAACCAGTGAGTCAAAACTCCTTATAGTATGTGTGCGTGTGATTGCCTGTGAGTTGACACTTCCATTATCCCATAGGTATTGTACTGTGAGAAAATGGCCCAGAGCACCTGATAGAAATGCCATTGTTACTTATTTCTACTTCAGTTTACTCACACATATAAACCTGACTGAAATATCATTTCTGGTTGACATTCTGTAGAGAAAATAATATTCTTTATTTCAGGACAAAAAGCACTACATTTTTCCATGTTCACACACACGAATTGTAGTATTGATTGAATAGTGTCCTGTTGTGTTTAATTGTGATGCTTTGTGGTCCACCATAGGATGGGATGTAATAGCATCAGCCCTCTTCAAAGGGTGTTCCACCATAATTTAAAAACCTGTAGAACTACTGTATTTTGTCATAAGATTAGTCTTAAACTAGCATTTCTCACATCGCTATAATGAAATATCTATGAATTTGGTGGAAGGTATTCCCACAAGATTTAACAAGAAAGTTACAACATTTAGACAGCCAGGTTTGTGTTTTTCAGAGAACACTGTGATTCCTGGCAGTAATTAGCACCTATTACCGAGCCATCTGCTTAGCAGCGTTTTCTTTGGCTCCCTGAGGAGCCACTGTTTATCTCTGCTGGGTCCAGCAATACCCAAACAAAGTGGTGAATGATGCAGCATCCTGCTGCCACATTGGCTTGCTTTGACATCTACTGCAGCAGGGCCTGTGCATTTATTTCATTCAAAGGGACTATTGGAGAAGAGTCCATTTATATAATTAAACTAGGAAGTGTAAGTACATTTCACAAGTTTAAATAAAATTATTAAGGTTGTTTGTCTGTTATATAACTTATTTTTTAGTTGTCAACCTGTAGTTAAGTTAATTCATGGAATAGTTCGACATTTAAGGAAAATTTTTACTCTTTGGTTTTTATACAAATTAATCAAACCAGATTCAAAGTGTTCAGAGGTTTAGAGGGGCTGGTAGTTGGATTTTGTTACCTGTGGACAGAGCCAAGATGGCATTTCCGCCTCTTTCTGGTCTTTATGGTAAGCTAAGCTAACCAAAACTGGCTGACAGGATCATCAAATTCTCAGCAAGAGAATGAAAAAGGGTGTTTCCCAAAATGTCAAACTATTTCTTTAATTGTCAGCCTTAGAATTGCAAACTCTATGATTACCATAATCATCCAGCTACATTGAGAAAACAGATTTTACAGGCATAGAACCTTTCTACATCAGCAATCAATCGCAGATGTGTGTAGGGTAAAAACAGAGAAGCGAAATAAAGATACAGATGGAGAGACACAACAACCTACCTAACCTGCCCCATTTCAGAACATGGATGGAAAATTCCTATGCAAACCCCGTTAATGGCTGCCTCTTATATCTTCTGACTAGTTCTGATGATGTTGCTGCAGCCTTTGAGAAATTGAGATCACTGTTTTCTGGAATTTTTAAAGCCAAACGATCAACCAGTTAATTAAGAAAATAATTGGCAGATAAATTTATAACAGAAATAATTCTTGGTGGCAGCTCTAGTACAGGTATAGCAATTTTTTGACAAAGTTGCACTACTTTTCCTAAATCATTTTAGTCAACAAAGCTTTTTTTAACCTGTGGGTAACTTTGCTAAAAAAATCTTTGTTCTCTTCTGTGAATTACATTAAAGATCATATATTCAATGTAACCTCCTGGTAAAAAAAACATTCACACTTGTTCATTAGGAAATACCTGAAATGAACTGAAATGAAATTCATAAAGGAATACCTTTATATTCTTAAATTCATCCCATACTAATTATTGATCTGTAATAAAGCTGACAGCAAGAATAAATGAATAAACTGAACGTCTTGTGTTTTATGTCTCTCTCTCTCTGCTGTTCTCACCTTTTGCATTCAGTTTATATTTTATCATCAGTGCCAGCTGTTAATATGATTAATGGCCCCTGGGCTGTATTGAAATGGAGTGAGTCTCTGCTCTCTCCCACATCACGCACACACACACACAAACATTACACAGCTCATTGAGCCGCCTTGCTGTTTCACCTGAGACGAGCTCCTGGATGTCACTGTCTGCGTGTCAAAATGAAATGACTCTTTCTGTTGTCTCTTTTTGTCTTTGGCAGAGGACCCATTTGCGAGTGGAAGTGCGCATGTGTGTGTGTGTGTGTGTGTGTGTGTGTGTGTGTGTGTGTGTGTGTGTGTGCATGTGAGTGTGTGTTTTGAGGATCAGTGGTTGAGTTGAGAGCGGGGCTGCGTCCCCTGAGGGAGAGCTGTCAGTCTGACAAACCTGACATTTGAGCTGTGCTGCGGTGTGGCCACAAGTCATTTCACGTTTTCTAAGTGAAACCACAGGCATGCATGCGCACGCGCGCGCACACACACACACACACACACACCAAGCCATGGAGATGCAGCTGTATTTTTATTATTTACCTCTTCACTGTTCTGTTGGTTGGAGGTGATGAGAAATAGAAGTACAGTTTGAGATTCATGCCCATATCAGCAGATGAGTCTCACTTCAGTCCATTGGCTGCATTCAAGACACATTTTCGAAGTGTTTTAATGTCATTTAAGGAAACCTGAGTATGTGTGTTGATTTTCTTTTCTTTCAGGTACCCAGTGATTCTGTCCATAGAGAACCACTGTAGCATCCAGCAGCAGAAGAAGATTGCAGAGTACCTGCGAGAAATCTTTGGTGACAAACTGGATGTGGGAGACGTACTTAGCAGGGACTCAAAAACATTACCCAGTCCTCACAGCCTACAGGGCAAGATACTCATCAAAGTAAGAACAAATATACTCTGTAGATGAACGGATGGATGGTGGACTGACTGTTTGTGTTTTTAAACGAATAAATACATTGCTGAATTAGAATATGCCCAGCCAGTCAGTGCACTTGTAAATGAAAGCATCTGCATTGAACATCTCCCCTTCCTTCTTCTTATTTCAGTGAAGAAAGCAGAGCGCTCGTTATCTCTCCATATTTAATCTGATGTGCGTTGCTGTACTGAGGATGGGGAGCGGGAGAGGCACCACAAGGCAGCTAATTATTGCCTATAAACAGACGAAGAGAAGGAAGATGAGAAAGGGAGGACTAAACTAGGTCATTGTATTAATCAAAGAGGGGAAAGGTGAAAAAGACGAGATGCTGGCATATGATAACGGAGCGACAGATTGTTTTTATTTTTTTTTTGTCACACACACACAAAATGAGGGACACATACAAACACAACCTGGCGACTCAGTTGGGGCTGTCAAACTATTCATTTTTTAAATTGCTTCTACTTGCAACAACTCTGCAATTAACCACGATGAATAGATGAATAATTAAAGACATATTTAAATTCCAACACGTCCTCATAAATGAGAGAATAAGTTGTTTGCCAATGTCTCCCAAAACAACATACAGCATATAGCCAAAGCGACATATATGACCGTTGCAGAGTGCCAGTGTCAGGCGTACCGGACCTTTGTCGGACCTATGTTAACAATAATAAAGACTTTGTTAATATTGTAACTATTTGGTTAGGTTTAAAAAAAGATCATGGTTTGGATTAAAATAAGTATACATTAGTAAGTCAAAAGTCATGTGACATACGTAACCTAATTTATGTACATATGTTAAAATAAGTCAACTTTGACTTTTCGTTTTTTTGTGACCCGGGGCAACAAACCATTCAACAGCTCAAAATACATAATTTTGTCAGCTTGATACTTCATGACTTTCCAAATTTTATGTTATCAATCAAAAATCAACTAAAGAAAATTGAAGCCTTACTTGTTTGGGATCTCAGAGACCGCATCTGTTAAATTGAAGGACTTTCATATGCTATATAACTGGTATATTTTAAGCAAACCCACCCCAAATCCCAAATACATCTATGTGAATTTAAGTTTTTTACAGTTTTATAGCTGTTCCTTTTCTGAGGATGACTTTTTTCTGAGTTTGTGGCAAAGAGATGGTTTACCACTCCAACCCTTTGTACGTAGTTAGTTTTAGTAAGGTCAGAAGAAAGTGAAAATTGCTTGATTTTACAGTTATTATTATAATTTTATGTTTTAAACATAGCAGTAGAAGTAAAGTCAACAAAACATAAACATTAACCATGAAAAGAGTTTTTTGCCAACCTTAACCTTAAGTAGTTTTAGTTACCCATGAGTCATGAGTCATTTTGGAAGGCACACATGGATTGTTTTGAAAAGCACTGACAAAGAACCTGTTTGTCATTTAGTTATGAGGACTTAGTAGGTCATGACAAATTTTACAGTATGTAAGTTATCTGAAAACATATCATCTCAAGCTCACTTTGCAGTACATACTGTTGTAGTCCCCAAAGGTAGCGCAGGTGCCCAGCAGGATGATCTGTGAAACAAGGGTGATAAGATCATCCTCAAAAACAATGAAAACCCACCATCTTATCGTTTCTTTCTTTCTTTTTTTAATAAACATTGCTCTCACTTTGGCGGCCTGAGAAATAGGAGATCATTATCTACCAAAACAGGTGGAGTTATTAATAAAAAGAAACAAAAGATTTCATTTTTTTTTTTAAAGAACCAGATAAAATTGTACAACTTTATCTGTAATGTGAAGGAAGATTACGTTGTTCCCCGGGAAATGGAGCTCTGGCTTTGTCCCTCCCCAGTCAAAAGACTGAAAAGTGAAAGAGCATTATTGATTTTCTATAAATCCTCTCAGTTTTCCTCAACTTCATCTCTTTCCTTCCCCTCTCTGCCCTCGTTTGACAACCTTTCACCCCTCTCCATCCACCAGTGGAGGGAGAGACCAGAAAGTCACAAGACAATAAAGAAAAATGGCAGAAGGGTTTTTCACAGTAATGAGGAAGAGGGGATAGACTACTTATGGCAGTGGTGAAAACGAGGGCAGTGACGTCTGCCAGTGAGAGACTTAATGTACTGCAGGAAGCTCGGAGTCTACCATCGATTTTGAAGAAGAAGCTTAGAAAATCTTGACTCCCACTCACACCTTCAGAATAGCTCACTAATGGGCTTACACTCTTCTAAAAGAGCTACTCAGGGAGCTTCTCAGAGAATCTTCAGCTGATTGTAATATTTGTCTGTGTTTGTGTGAGCATGAGTGTGTGTTTTGTGCCCTCTTGTGTGCTTATAGCAGTAATAGCATTCTTTCCTGCCTATAAATACTGGTAAAGGAGCCACATTACTTCAACGTGGGTAATTTTGAATGTCTTCGTAAATCATATTGTATGCTGCTGTGTTATTCGTGGATCTTAGAGGTGCAACCTGTGTGGGCGTTCTATTGTATAAAAGAGATGAGATGAGAATTTGTGCTTCATGTAAAACATATGCACAGGTCAAACGCATGTTTCTTCCTCTCCTCCCACCTCTTTTTGCATCCTCTCTCTATCCAGGGGAAGCGACTGCCTGCCTATCTGTCTGCGGATGCCGAGGAAGGGGAGGTGTCTGATGATGACAGTGCGGATGAAATTGAGGATGACTTCAAGCTTAAAAGCAGTAATGTAAGACAGAGTACTGCGATGTTGCTATAAACATCATGTGCACACAAACATGCAGAAATGCTGAACAGACATGTTGTTCCAACTTGTTTTATTCTCAGGCCAGTTGTGCCCATCTATGGAGTTAGTCTTTTTTTTGTAGTAATAAAGGAACTGAAACAGGGGCTTGAGAGATCATTCAAATTCATCAAATTCAACATAAGTTATTATCATAGTAAGACAATTATGTATACTGACAAATTAACCAGTGGCTCAGGAAGACCTTTTCCATTTAAATTAGTGCAAAACAGTAACATGCCAACATGTTCAACACGCCATTAAAACCAGGACAGCACTAAAATTATTTAATAAAAAAAACAGATTCAACAAATTCAAATTATATTTATGTTAATAAAACAGCCAATAGACAAATGAGAGGACATAGCAAAACTCTGTTTTCTTAACTTTTAATTTAGTAGTTTTACCTTTTCAACATATTTCTTAAAAAAAAGAACATATAGAAGTAACTGGATTTAACTTTTTTTCTGAAGTCTGTCCGTATCTGTCTGGGCAGCGTTCCTTTTGTGGCTTTATTTGTGCTACACTTTCAGTTCTTTAAATGCTAATTAATCTCAGTTCATTCAAAATAAGGTTCATTCAACATCGTATCAGAAAGCAAATGGAGTGGCAGGGAGTAATGTGAGAATCCAACACCTTTCTCCACATACAGGCATCACAAACAGAAGTTAGATAATGGGACCTTAATGACATTTTTGTGCTCGACATAATGACTTCAGTAATTGGGTAGTAATGTTGGTGCTTGTAAATTTTTACTGATCATCATTGCGGTAATGTTTTGGAACAATCAATGCTTAATGGTACAGACATAAATATTAATCAATGCAAGAGTTTGAGCATGCTGTTTTTTAAAAGATAAGCAGCGCAGCAACATGTAAAACATGCGAGGGAATCCCATCGCTGCTTGCTCATGCAGATCACTCCTGAACTTGCCTTGTGCCATCTCTATAGTCATACTAAATCTTGTTCATTTATTTCATGATACATTAGTGCCAGGGTCCTCCTCACCACATTTAAAGCACGAAAACACCCAGTTATTTTCCAGATGGTTCAGTTGTGTAACCAAATATGGCATCATTCTTCCACATTTAGCTGGAGGCATGAGACTGCAGATGCCACTTTGGATGATCATTGCCATTTTAAAAGGGTGGTGGCAGGTTTCCACTGATGAGATGTTGTGTCTGTTTTAGAGGGAGACAAATGAATGAGTGAAATAGGGAGTGATTTCAAACACAGCTTACTTGAAGCTTATTTAAAAATTTTAGACGTGTACCACCTATCTAGCTTTTTCACCACACACAATAACACTCCGATCAGTGTAAACTCTATACTCTTCATGTTGAAGCAGACATATTCTCCAGTTATCTTTTGCACTTTTATAATTATAAAATATAAAATATTAATTAAACTCTCTCTCACAACTATGAAAAATGTTGAAGTGGTAACACTCACTGCCTATAGGGGATGCAGGAGTCACAATTGCATCAGCAGCAACGACATCCGAGTGATGCCCGACAGCTAGCTTTTGGCTTGGTGTGTCTGGGCTCTTAGTGCTCTACTGATAGAGCAGTGAAAGATCAGCAACTTGTTTTATTGGATGACCACTAATAAACTGAGGTGTCTCCAATAGCTGACATTTTTTTCCTTGCCTGTAGATGCACACATGTAATCTGTGTCTGCATCTGGAATTATCAACTGCTGCTGTAGCTACTTGCCAAAAGGTGGTACTGGTTGGTCTGAAACCAATGGTCTGATTGTGGTGCTGCAGCTGTGCAGTTGGTTGAGCGCTGCGCATCTGTGGCAATCTCCATCATCTCTAATATGTTTCTATGATATATTTTCTTGCACTTGTATTGAAATATCCCCAATGTGTCTCTCACTTTCTTGCCTAGTTCCCTTTCTCCTTCTCTTTCTTAATAACTCTCCTCTTCTTTCACACAGGGCAATGGTCATCACCAGGTGGAGTCTCACATCAGAAAGAAGCTGGACTCTCTACTGAAGGAGTCTCGGATCGGAGACAAGGAAGATAGCGATAGTTTCAGCATCCGAGCACTGCTCCGAGCTACGCACCAGGGCCTTCAGAAGAACCTGCGCCAGGTACCACCCTAAGGCGATGTATAGAGCTGCACACGGAGCACAGTAATACTCGTCTACAAATAAGGAGGAGAAAGAGAAGGGGGGGGTAAAACTAGGCCATGGTATTAGTCACAGAGGGAATTGGAGAAAATAATGGAGTAGACTGGTTACTGCACCCCCCACAATTCAAACACACCCACTGAACACACAAAAATGGACAGTCAACCACCAGCTCCTCAGGCCACTCTGAAGGGACTGCTATGTTTCCCCGGTGGGATTTCATCCAAAGAAAGTCAAAACAGACCGAAAGTGATGAGAAGCTAAATGTCTGCAGTGTTGCTTAATATTTAATTTCCCTGCTTGCCTCTTGTGCTATTTTTAGAAGCTTCAGTTTCCTAACAGCCATTTTAATGTAGTGGGTGTTGTGCATCAGGGTTTCCTATTCTCTTTATTCTACTCCTGCTTTGTTGGTGATCCCCTTCACCTCTAAAGGGTTTTTCCCTCTCTGTCTTCCTAACTGTAATTTTCCCTTATCATTTTCACTCTCTTCTCCATCTATGCTGTTCTTTATTGGCTGATGTCTGTTGCAGCCTGTCCAGCCACTGAGCTTTAGGGTTTAAGTGACTCTCTGGGTGCTAATATGGTTGTTATTAGACTCACATCAAATGCTCTACACACATGAATGTAAACAAGCATACAAAAACACACACTTGTTGAGAGTCTCTGAATGGTTTCCTCTTTGTCTCTAGAGCTCCAAAGGGGTTTTGAAGAAATCTCAGAGCAGATCCTTCATCACAACACTCAAGCAGAAGGTGAGGAGCATGAAACAGGAGGTTGCTGTTTTTGATACATTGCGAATTCAGGTTAGTCATACCACAAGAATTACAGAACGTTATTGTCTTTAGACAACGTCTATTGGACATTATCAAGCTTTTTATTTGTTCTATTTACTTGATGCTTTGTCTGGCCCTTAGCACACCAAACTGGCCTTAAAGAAACAACACTTTGCCTTTTACTTGAAGAAGAAATGGGCAGGTTGCACTAAATTGGGAAAACTGATTTTCTTGGCTGAACAGCTAACCAGACAGAACTCTCATGATGGCCTTAGCGGTGATTTAGCATGCTCAATCAGCTGAAGTGCCGCTATAAGAGCCGACTAGAGCCAATGGTGCGGAAAACACAAGAGAAGGTTAGCAATCCCAATGATGCCCGACAGCCAGCTTTTGGCTTGGTGTGTCCGGGCTTGTAGTGCTCTACTGATAGAGCAGTAAAATATCATCAATCAGCTGTTTTTGTGGACAACTAATTAACTGAGGTAGCCGGGCTATGTGCTTCAAATGGAGCATATGGCACAGCACATGGCACAGCCCGGTTTGCATCTCAAAGGTTGTGTTGAGATGGACTTCTCCAGGCAAATGAAAATCTGGAAGACAAAAATTATCTGGGCAAAGAAATAGTCCAGCACATAACCATATTTAAAAAAATACAACAGAGGACTGAGGGAGCATCGACATTTGCTTTGAGTTCCCATTAAATTGTCCACTTAGTGTATTGTTAAGATTATGTGTGATATGTCTCTTTAACTATTTAGCGTCGCTTATGGGAAGCAGAAAAGAAGCATCCCCCTGTTCTCCTGTAGAAAATCTTCCATAGAGTCACACATAGAAAATGCATACAGTATGCAAAGCACCCTTTGTAGATTTGTCTTCAACGTGGGGTAGATAGCAGGATCATATATAAGATCACCACACTTATCTTCCAATTCCACTCTGCAGATCAATGCAGTGAATGTGTGCATTATGCATTTCTGTGAATTCCACATGTGGACCCAAAGCATGTATTGTCTTGATTTAGAGCCTCTCTACGGTATGTGTTTGTCCTTCAGATAGCTGCTAATGGTATAGGCAATTCATTTTGCAATATAATATAGGTTTGTTTGATGTGTTTGTTTCAGACATTTTCTCTATATTCATTCATCTCTCAGCCTGGTTATTTTTCCCACTTGAAATTTCTTCCTCTATATAGTTGCTTCTTTTTACCTTCCTCCTTTTTTCCCCACTAACATCTCCTCTTAATTCTTTTATGCCTCCCTCTTTGCATATTATGCATCCTTCCACGTGTGTATATATGCGCACATACATGGGTGCATGTAATCTGTTGGCAAGCAGCCTAAACCCTGTAATTACTGCGACCCTCATCCTCTTCTCAACTCCACTTTAGCCCTAATAGAGATGTTGCTTCTCTCAGAAATAATTCACATATTACCAAATATACATAAACCTACATTGTGGTGTATCTTGTGTGTTTGTTAATATATCCCTGTGTGTGTGTCTCCGTTGTCCAGAGGCACTCCAAATCCAGGCTGTCATGCCAAAATGTGGACAAGGAGGAGGACAGTCAGGAGAGGTCTGGGAGGGAGGCTGGAGGACAGTTCAACAGGTGACCTTTGACCTGCTTCATCACAACACTGACAATCCATGACAACTGAGTGGTTTAATAGCTGCTGACTGCTGGGAACATTGAACAATCCAGGGCATCAGTAGTGTCATGCCAACCACTAAAGCCTTGCTGCTCAATTATGGGTTCGTAGTCAGTTCGGATATTTTATATTTTCAGACTGTTCACGTAGTATCTTAATGCAGCAAGTCACTTTACTGAACTGACCAAAGACCAAAGACCGAACACACGGGGTGAAAGAAACTGAGGCCAAGACTAGAGCATCACATATGGTGTCGTCACGCAGCTCCAGTGGTTCATTGGTTCATATTTCTAAATTGGATACTAGATTGTTGTATTTGATGCATTAAAGCACCACAATGTAAAGGTTGAAAGGTTCACAATATTCCTCAAAAGTAATAAAACACACCTTTGCTCATTTCAGTACAGGGGTTTTGTTGCAGCAAAAGTTACATAGACTCACTTTAACATGTAAGCAACACTTACAATTGTACTTGGTGAAGGTGAAGGTGGTTTAACTACTTTATATACTTTTTGGTAGTTTAATCTATAACACTGTACTAAACAGATCATATTTTTTGAATATACAATTTTCTTTTAAATAGCTAATAACTATTATTGTGATATTAATGTTTTTGAGTAAAAAGTACAATATTTCCCTTTGAAATGTGGTGTTGAAGTACTGTATAAAGCCAAACATGGAAATACTCAAGTAAAATAAGAATTGTACTTAAGTACTGTACAGAACTTAAGTAAATGTACTTCCCCACACTGCCTACATTACTTCAAGTTTTGCTTGATTTGTATCCTAAATATTCTACCTCACTGTTGCTCAAGTGAAAACTTCCACTGCTGCAGTCCTCCATATTTTTCAAGTATCAATTATGGAGTCATGAAAAAAACATGGAGTAACATACAGTAAATGTGATCTTGTAAGATCTCCTCTGAGTGTTGAGATAGAGGTTCCATTGCCACGAATGAGACACTCATCAAATTTAGGACCACATTTGAAAGAGAATTCAATGTGTCATAATCAATGTGCCTGTTTACACTATAAGAACAAAAACAGGTCTGATTCACTCCGTTTTTGTCTGCAGCATGAATATATCCCAATTCTCTTTCACACACATTATTTTCCCAACTCTGTTTAATTTTTCCTCTTTCTGTGAGTGAGCATTGGGCAAAAAGTATGGAAATTCAACTGTATTTTCCTCGCTCTGTGTATAAGGCCATTGCATCTCTTTGTTTTCCCTGTCTTTGTTACTGGTTGCACATTCTATACATCTCGGGAACTGTCACAGTGCAGATTCCTGCAAGCATGCGTCTGAGTGGCTATGTGACAGACTGTCTTTGTGCAAGACTGTGTGTGCATGACTCTGTGTGTGTAGTTGTATGTGTGCGGGAATGTGTGAGTCTTGCTGCACTGCATGCACTCTAGTCCCTATTAGGCTTTTGCCTTTGATGCTCTTTCCTGTGGTTTGCAAGCTGCCTCACTAAACAGTCCTCTCTTGCCTGCTATGCTTTTGCCACTGTAAATGCTTAAACAGGTACAGTATATGGGTGTGTGCATATCTTACTTCACATCCTTCTCCCTTTACCAGTCTCGTATATCTTTGCTTGATCTCACTCACTCTCCTCTGTTCTCTCTTGCAATTGTCCTCTGTCATTTGGCAATTTTTTTAGGGGTGGAAGGAAGAGGAAGACGATGAAACTGAGTAGAGATCTGTCAAACCTGGTGGTGTTCACCAACTCTGTTGCCTCACAGGAGTGTCTGAATGAAGGTGAAACACCAAAGCTACAACACCTTCACACACACAAACAATTTGGCACATTGCATTCTTAACTTTGAAGAGATTTTCCCGTGCCTAACCCATGTTTCTCTCCAGGCACTCCAGGTGACGTTCTGTCATTCAGCGAGACCAGAGCCCAATCTCTGGTCAATCACAGAGCCGAACAGTTCCTAGCTTTTAACCAGAGGCAGCTGTCACGGATTTATCCCTCAGCCTATCGCATTGACTCATCCAATTTCAACCCCCAGTTCTACTGGAACGTGGGCTGTCAGTTGGGTAAGCTTGCAACCCGCGTGGAGGCTGTCTGTTAATGAAAACACCAGGTGCCGTGCCTTTAGCCACATACCTGTCATTATACATTAATTGACTCTGCATACCACATGCATGCACACACACACACACAAACAGATTTCACACACCACACACTTACCTTACACATTTGACATTGTGTGGTTTGCAAGTGGCCATGTCATGTGTGCAGAGGTCAATAGCTATGACTATGAACTAACTTACTAACTAACTAACTAACTAACTAACTAACTAACTAACTAACTTAATTATGCAAGATGCGTGGATGCTGTATGAATGCTGCAGCATGTTGTGTGTGATTGAGTGTCTGCTAGTTTATTTGTGGGGCAACAGTCGGAAAAGGCATGTGTGAGGATTAAGGAGAAACACATAAATATATAAAAAAAGAAGATAAGATGATGAAAAAGAGTTGGCCGAAAAGAACAGCATCAGGAAATCCAAGATCCAAGGAATCCCTGTCTGTCCCAGCCAACTACATTTTTTTGTTAAATTGAGAGAACAATATTGGTCTCTGAATTTCTAAGAAATTACTATTCCAGTTATACAAAAATAGAAACAGTTACTACGGAGAGAAGTAAAAAGAAAAGAAAATGCAAAACTCTGAGCTATTATCTTTGAAACAGCTGTGATTCCTCCCTGTTTTCATTTCATATTTTTGCCAGTTTCCTTCCTCATCTGTTCCTCCTAATTTGGGTTTGAAAGTTATAAAGACTCACAGGCTTAAAGAATAAATTAAGGGATAAATCAAAAAGAAACATTTGATAAATGCAGAAAACAATCATGACTAGAATGACAAATCATATGATTTTCACAGTTTGCAGTTATATGTGGGTAGATATTCCGTAACTTGTAGTGACAAAATAAAAGTTATTTCGTCTTTTTTCTTTTTCAGTCGCTCTGAACTACCAGACAGAGGGCAGGATGATGCAGCTCAACAGAGCCAAATTCATGGTGAATGGAGGCATTGGATACGTCCTTAAGCCCCCTCCCATGTGTAAAGGTACTTCAACAAACCGACACATACAAGCAGAAATACATGCATACCAATTAGTGTTTTCAGGTAGTGAAATATTCAAATGCAAGAAGACACAAGACTTATTTTAATTAGTACATAACAAACAAGAAATATAAATAAGTGAGATTTGGGCATCACATTATATACATTTTCCTGTAATTCAATGTGAAATGTTGGGTTCCCCACTACAATATTTTTTTAAGTGTTAAAGGTTATGTTTTTCCACACCACAAGAGGTTACAAAGACAATCTCATGCCCATTATTATACTGAACAGTTAACTACAATACAAAGCAGAGGCATGGATGTTTTTCACAGGCTTGCTGCACATGTAGTTTACATCTCTGCTCTTTATGATGCAGTGATTATTGAGAAATGTGTGCTCTCTAGTAGATGGGAATACAACCGTATAGATAATACTGACATGACTTGTGTGGCACAAGTCAAGTCAGTGTTATCTGTTACAGAAGGGGGTGTATATCTGTTATTTTCACCCTGTACATTTTGCATACGAAACCTGCAAATAACAGAACAAACAGAGAGGACTGGATTTTAGGATTAAATGATGATATAAATCAAAGTTACTCTCCTGTCTTTCAATTCTTAAAGGCTCCTTCAATCCATTCAGTGATGACCCGCTTCCAGCTTACCCCAAGAAGCAACTCATTCTCAAGATCATTAGTGGACAGCAGTTGCCCAAACCACCAGACTCCATGCTGGGGGACCGTGGAGAGGTACAAGCACACCAAAACACATACACTCGGTGCTCACATTCTCCATCTGTCTTTTTCTCTCTCTCTCTCTCTGAGACTTTCAACTTGCTCTCGGCGTCCTAAAATAAAATATAATACATTTTATTGCCTTTTCTCCATCAGATTATTGATCCTTTCGTGGAAGTGGAGATCATCGGTCTGCCAGTTGATTGCTGCAAGGACCAGACACGAGTTGTTGATGATAATGGTTAGTCATGCACTCACAGAACATCTTGCATGACAGAAAATAGCTCAAAATGGATATAACAATGTATCAAATGACAACGTTAAAACTGTGACAGTGTGAAAGTGAGCGCTTATATTGATGAACCTACAGAAAATGATCCCCTGTATTGAAGTTTCACAACAATAACCTTGTGTTTAATATTGTTAACATGATGGCAAAGGTCTCCTGATGAAGGTCACCTGACAAAGGTCACTTGTCTTTGTCCTTTCCTCCATGTCCAAAACTCTTGAAGTGAAGCATCTCTAACAGCGTTAAATGGAACGTGAGAAGCTTAAAATACATAGACGTGACACGCAAATGTCAGATTAGCTATTTATACGCAATTACATGATATCATGTTGTTATAGCTGAGTTTCAGGTCATTGTTTAGATGTCTGGCAACTTTAATAAGTTAACATTTTAGCTCTCACCGCTCTTAAAGCAGCATTTTTGGCTGCAGAAGACAGCTTTTTTCAGTGAAAAAGCTCTAAAAAATCTCTGTGTATTACCTACTCAGTAGTAAACATCAAATAGACAGTTAGCATCTAGCTGGTGAACTTAGTGGAGCATTTGGCCGCAAAAGAGCCAGATATTTTCCTTAGGAGTTGGTGGAGACCAAAAACAGAGCTAAAACATTAGTGAATATTGGACAGATACATGACTCCAAATAAATGATAATGTTGCTCTGTAACTGCTTAATGTGTAAATAATCAACTGTTTGCCAACAGATGACCATATAAACCTAAAAGGTAAAACTTGTTTGTGCCAATAAAAATATTGCTAATTGGTTGCCTAGTTGCTGCAATTTTTACTTCCAATAGATGACTGTCTATTTCCTGTTGGTGGGGTAATGAGTATTTCATGTCATATCTAGCCAGGCCTGCATTCTTTAAACAAATTGAACTGTAGGAGAGAAGATCTTTAATAAAGTTTTAGCGTAGTACACTAAGTACATGTTATTGTATTTTCAAATAGGCTTTTCACACCAGACATTTTGAAATGTCACAGTAGGAAAGTGTACAAGTGTAAATCAGTAAATTAATCATGACTGAATTTCATTTAACTGTCTCTGAATAGAACTGAACCATTGTTAATGTTATTAGTAACACCCAAGCATTTCCTACTATTAGCAAGTCAAAATGTAGATGAAAAATATACAATACAATCTAATCCAGCTTGGACTGGATTGTGACTTTTGTGACGATTGCATTGCTTATATATTGTATCCCTTACCTATTTTTTGTTGCTTTTGCATTTTACTTTTTCATCATTTGAAAAGTGCCACACACATAACATATGTATATAACATTAACCACATGGTACCAGGATACTATAGAACATACTGTATGTATAGCACATACACACAAGCAAATACAATCTGATGTTATCTCATTCTGCAAACTAATAATTAGCAATAACCATTGCTAAAAAAAAAACAACAGAGCAGAGATTAAACGATGCCATAGCCAGAGGCTGCATTTTACTTTTGGCTATTGAAAAGTCAGTTTTATTAATTAGAACCGTAAAGGAAGCAAAACGAAGGGGTCTGCTGGTATCACCCGTAACTTCTCCACAGATGAAGGCACCTGGCAGAGGGAAGGGAAAAGCTCCCTACGGGAGAGGTTACTGAATCCTGGGCACTAATCAGTATTATAAGATTAGTGTGCAGGGCATTGATCCATACCAAAACACAATTGACACATCAATACTACCAACTCCATCTTTGCTAGTTCTTTGCATGTATGGTATATACAGTATATGCGTTAATGAGATGCTGATTAAACAGATCCTAACTATAATGAGCATATATGTGTTTATTTCCCTCAGGTTTTAATCCAGTATGGGAGGAGAGCCTGTCCTTCACACTTCACATGGCTGAGGTGGCTTTGGTGCGTTTCCTTGTCTGGGACCATGACCCAATTGGACGGGACTTTATTGGTCAACGGACTGTTGCCTTCAGCAGCCTGATGCCTGGTCTGTGAAGAATCCCTCAGTGTTTTCAGTTTTATCTGAGAATAGGAACTTTTTGTGTGTGAATGACATGAACTTAAGAGGGGTAACTGTTTGTCACCGCAAGTTAGAATCATTATAGTTCTGCTATTTAACACAAATAGACAGCCAGACTCACTCACTCTTAAGCATGTAATTTCCCTTATGGCTTTGGCAATGCTATGCCTGTGAGGCACATTATCTTGTGTCTAGTGAACCATGATTTGTTTGATTTGCAAAGTAAAAGACCTGTGGCTTTGCAGGTTATTTTTGTTGTCCACATCCATCAGAGTTGTCCCTGAACTTCTGATGCCCTCTCCTCAGGCATCTACTACACAATCATCAGTCTGATGACAGCTGTTATCTTTCTTTGACTGATTCTATCACTCCCTCTCTTGCTCACATGCGTTCTCCCTTCATTTCTAACAACAGGTTACAGACATGTTTACTTGGAGGGGCTGACTGAGGCTTCCATCTTTGTGCATGTGTCAGTGCATGATGTCTATGGGAAGGTAAGTGTTAAAGTATTAAGTATTAGTAAAGTCCCGGTATTTATTGTTGCATTCCCCCAGTGAGCCTCTCTTGTCAAGTGAGATTATATTTTGGACATAAACATAAAAAATTTGATTCTCTCAATACATCAATCCATTTAAGCTATGCTCCTTCAACCCTTTGTCTTTCTAGTGGAGCCCTCTAGTCCTGAACCCCAGCTTTACCATAATGCACTTTCTAGGATCTAACAAGGTATCCTGATACCCTAGGTTCTGTGTGGTGCTGCATGAAACAGTAATGCATGATAAAAAATGCATTTATGTTCAGCCGTATCTTCAATAACTTGCTTGTGTGTAACATTAAACCACTGAGTCATACAGTTTGCTTAGTAGGTCATTAAAAAAAAACATGCTTCCCCCATTCTTGTTGTCTCATTTTCAACAAAGATGGAATAATATGCAATATTAACATGCATGCATAATCCACAATGGCGTCATTCAGATTGCTTGTTAAGGTAACGCAAGGAGTAAGGGCGCCATCTATAGGCATTGCGAAAGCATGCAATATTTACATTTGCTGCAAACTTCATCAGTACATTCATGAAAATTAACACATCTGTAATGTGTAAAAATGTTGTGTTCAGTCTATGTTAAAAGTGCACCTTGGTTAATAATGTTAATGTTGTTGATATCTTTTTCCCCTTTCTTATTTACTTATTACTTATTTTTTTTACTTGCCTTCAGGGTCATCACCTGCGAGGTATCCGGGGGTTGTTTAACCGTTCTTCCAAGTCCTCTGTGGATGCTAACTCCAGTGGTTTCCGGAAACGCTCCATCAGTGATCACTTCCTGCGGCGCACAGCCAGTGCCCCAGCAAAGGGACGGAAGAAGACCAAGATGGCACTATCAGAGTCAGTGGCTTCGATATCAGACCAAAAGAATGGCACAGTTGCAGGAGGAGAGGGCATGGCAGGGAAAGAAGAAGCATTGGAGAAGCGACACCAGCCCCGAGGCCCCCTCACCCACAGACCTATGTCCATGCCCTTAGACAGGCTTCTGCAAGGGCAACTATCCCTCTGCTCACCAGACAAGGAACAACATGATATGGGCACAGATACTGTCATTGGTGGGTATTTTTCATTTCATACCAAAGAATTTAATATATTTTGGAATTATGAAAATTACACCCAAATTACATCCATTCCACAGTTATGCTGTGCTACTGTAAGTCCATGATTATGCTGTGTTATTCAAATAATTTCTTTAATCCTAAGTGCTACTATAAATGCTTGAATTGACATGTCTTAAAGCAGCATTTTGCATTGACATGCTTTGCACAGTGATTAATGTAAGATGTAACTTTTTCTAATTTCTCTACTTGCTTTTCCTATCCTGCTACAACTGTCTAAAACTTGTGTACAGTAATAATGTGAAGTGACAGACTACAGCCTAATCTCCACGATACCTTAACATGCCTTTTCTGTCCCATCTTCATTTGTTGTGCTTCTTTATAGTAGAGAACTGACTAGGATATTCCTGCAGGTAATCTAAAATACATATTGTCTGAAGGTTGCATTGTTCAAAAACATACCAGTATTGCGTCCACCCAGTGTATTTTGTTCGAAAGTGGTCTGAGAAATATATTGCTGTGTCATTTGATCCCATTTGACCATGGATTCTTCCTTTTTTTAAACCTCATTTTCCAGCTTCCCCTTCACAGTTGTACTTGGTGATCCATTTGTCTGTGTATTGCTATTGCCTTGTATTGGCTGGATTGTTAATTGTTGTCATTAAATTGTTGGTTAGCTTGGTGTTCTACAGTACATCATATATAAGCATTTCTTTATTAATCATTTTCTTCAATTACCTGTGTCCACAGGACCTTGCCCCTTCAACAGGCCCAGGTCCTCCTCTTTGGACCCGTTCATCGAATCATCATTCTCTATTGAACCAAACATCTCCTCCCCTTCTAAGATATTCATCAACAGAAATAAAGAAATGAAGCAATCAGAGGAAGTTTCGTATCTGGTTATTGGTGGAGGAGTGAGAAAAGAAGAGGATTATGCCAATTACCAATCAGGAGACAAAGGATACAACAAATCTGAGATCATCTCCACAGGCACAGAGAAAAAATGTTTCATCTCATCTTCCACGAGCCGCCAAATGAGATCAGATAAACCAGAAACATCATCAAACAGCACAACATTCCCAGCTGCACCTTCAGAGTCCTCGTCCTCCTCCTCTGCCCCCTCCACTATGGCCCCTCTTTCTCCTGTCAGTATGGACTGCGATCTGAACAGTCCCAGCACTTTGCATGACAGTGTCATCTCCAGACTAATTGATGCTGTGTCCTTAGGCAATGAGCAAGACACATGTGACTCTGTTTCTGCACTGATTGGTCAGTGTGACAGCACTGTTGACCAAAACGGTCTTGCAACATTGTGTAATGGTCATACCGCTTTCAGTGACTCAAACCTCAGGCCTACCGCCCCTAAGGCGCTGCAAGATTTAGGGTCTTCTCTCAAGACCAACACTACATCAGCTAACAAGAGACATTTATTAAGTCCCCAAAAAGTAGCTCAGAAAACAAATGATGTAAAATATGAAATCCTTTTGCCGCGCAAGACTTGCCAGGCAGATGCACCTGCTCCTGCACTCCTCTCCAGCCCAGAAACTGCTGAGCTTGAGGAGGTCTACACAATTCTGGATGAGGAGGTGTTGTTGCCAGTTTCAGTGTACAACCTGAGGAAACAGACAGTCCATGTTCAGGCAGACACTATGGAGAGCACAGCCTCTAACAGCTTGGGACCCTCTCCAGCAAAGGTGGTTCAGAGTATAGGGAAAGGGCACAATGTGGGCTGGGATGATATGCACAGAAAGAGGGGAGGAAGTGAAGAAATCGAGGAAGCAGAGGAAAGTGTATATGAGGAAGTGTATGATGCCCATGCATCAGTACCAGAGATAGTGCGGGATATGTCCAAAAGGTACATGGGCCCCTCTGTAAACAACGACTGTTTTCAGTTTCTCCATGACTCAGCTGGCAATGCTTTTGCAGAAGTGGAGATAAATGTCGATGAGGATCCACTGGAAATGATGTTGACCTTGCCGAGACAAGGCAGCGAATGGGAGGCTCTGATAAGTCCAAGCAAGCGCCATGTTATTTACCAAAATCACGAATCCACTCCCAAATACTCACAGCAAAAACAGCCTTTGTCATGCCATGATTCTCAGCAACAGCACCAGTCACATGCATCTAATGTTGCATTTTCACAGTGTCCCTCCCCAATAAAACAACCTTCGTATCGCCACAAAACCCAGAACAACTCCCAGCCTTCTCTCTTCCACAGACCCATCAACTCTAGACCCTCCAACCCTAGTCCATTGCGTCAAAACAGGTACCCAATTCCTCAGAGAAATTCTGAGGCCTTTAGTAACAGCAGTGATTTCAACAGTTCCTACACGCAACAGAGGAGCTATGGTGGCAGCCAGATCCTAAATAGGTCTCATCAAAATAGGCTAGGGTATAAACAGATGGAAAGAGAGCAAGTAAGGTGCTTCTACAATGGTTTCTCCTCTTCTGAAAGCCTCCCTGGTGAATCTGCTGTGTCTACAAACATATGTAGAGAGAGAGGCCTATATTCCCCTTCGGGCTGCGATGCAGTGTACAGCCACCCGGACTATGACTGCATTACACCCTCATCAGAGTCTTCAACTCCTCGGAACACCCAGTCACATTGCCAAAGCCAAACACAATCATACACTCCGAAGCAGTCATGGAACCAAAAGGTTTCTCTCATCAATACAAGACACCCCTCACAGCACTCAAATGTTGGTCTTTTATCAACTCCACCCCAGTCTGGTACCCTAGACTCCACAGCTAATAGCCCATGTAAGTCCAAGTCACTGGGAGACCTGACTTCTGAAGACATATCATGCAACTTCCAGAGCAAATACCACATTATTAGTCGCAGTTTCATCACTCCCCATATGAGGAAGCAAAAGAGAATGGGCGCCATGGGGGAAGTAACTTTCCAATCACAATCTTGTGATCCACTTACAGAACAGCTACGTAAGCTGGTCAGTCTGGAGGGGGATGACAATGACAGAGACAGGCCCCAATCTCCTCAGTTGTATCAGGAAGCAAAATCTCCACTGTCACAGCCACAGGCAACAGGGACAGCGCCTGTTGTTCCCAGGGATGTAGATGATTCCCCTCCACTCCTCACCCGTCGCCTATCCTCTCGGAGCCAAAGCCGAGTGCGTCACATCAACAGCCGTGCCCGCGAAAGACAGATCAATAGTACTGCCAGCATTGGTGGGGTGGTATTGAGGAATAAACCAGCCTCACAGAATCCTCCAGCTAACAGACACTCTACTGGTTCTTACATAGCAGGCTACCTTGGTCAGCTGGAGGACAGGGGACTTCCTGAAGGGGCTTGTACATCATTACTTTATGGAAATGGGGATCACTATGGAGATCGGTACTATACCGATGACTCTCTTCCACCTGCTGACTCCAACTCGTCAGAGCCTGAGGTCTACTTTTTGCTCAGACTGTAGCTCTGACCATAACCTAAAATGAGCTTAACGACCAAGCAGTGATTCTTGATGATGTTCAATTACACAAAAAGCCAGAAGATCTTGGAAATAAATACTTGTTTGTCCCTGAGTTCAGACCAGTAAGTTTCCCTTTTAACAGTGAAATAAATCTTATTCTGGGCTATTTTTTAGAGAAAGATATAGCCTGTACAGTATAAGTGAAACATCACATATAATCCATGGTTGGATCTGACAGCATGAATTTCCTGTATGAAATGTCCACTGTTCAATAATGAATGGTCTCGCTAGTCTGGCAGTGTATTGTTTATATTCTGCTTAATGTGTAAATGTACTTGGGAACTTTGATTTCCTCCAAATGGCTTCCTAGACTGATTATACAGATACTTGTTATCTTTGTCCATGTGGTGTACTGTCCAAACTGCATACATAGACTATGAAGCAAAAAAGGAATAATTGGGAGGGAAGGTCTTTCTTTGAATCATATGAATGTGTGGTATAATCAAACAGCTACTTTTAATAGATGGGATTCATCTTTTCAAAGACCAAAAGGAAGTCTTCCTTCTCTTTTCAGTGATGTTTCTTTATTTGTGTTGTGTGTAAATATTCCTGTCACTGTTTTAAATTCGAGATGTGTTTTAGTTCAGAAACAATTCTAACTGTACATTTATGTTTGTGCATGTTACCTGTGAACATGTCAAGCATGACTATGCACCAATTTATACAATAGATGTTTGATCGCCCAACAACATTTGCACAAAACAAATAGTTGCATTGGATACAACAGAGGATGTAGGCTTGTTTGTATAAGGGCAACACAGTACATAAACTTCTGTGCTTGGACTTGTTGCTGTCTATAATTTGTAGGATTTGAAAACATGATTGCAAGTTTTTATTTTTATAATTGCTTTGATACAGACTGCAAAAACAATATCTGTTTGGGTATGGTAATTTTATTTTGTATAACTTAAAAGAATAAAAAAAAAACAGAGTGACAGGTCTACAGGGCCAGGCTGAGGAGGGGAAGGTGGCAAAGCAGCATTTTATTTTTTTTTTATTGTTTTATTGTTACACCATCCTTTTTTTTTCTTTGTATTGTTGCTCATCAGAGGACTGTGGGCATTTTCCTACCAATGCAATAAATATTGAAATATTTGATTTCAACAAATTCCGTGTTCGTTTCCAGTTTTGCTCCATGCTTTATAATAACATATGATTAATTGAGAATGCAGCTCAAGCTCAAAATCTTTTTTTACTGGAAGTGACAAACAGCATCATCTTTCCCCATATGCCACCTTGAACATAATGGGATGTAATTGCTCATGAAATGGCTGTGCAGTAGCTTTGACATATGGCACACCTTTTGCTCTAGGCATACAATTCACCATACTGGTTTCAAGATTGCCACACTTTAAGTTTTATGGATCAATCTTAATATTCATTGGAAATCTAAGAGAAAAGGACACGTACAGGTAAATGATTGCTTACATGCTTGATGTCAACTTTTCAGTGTATTAAGACAACAGGTAGGCAGCCTGCTGAAACGTTTCACTTCATTATCCTGAGGTACTGTGTCTCAGTTACCTTGTGAAATGGCATCACACAGTTGTGTCTAATAGGAAACATACTGTACACACATACACCTACCACTGCATTCATACACTCTAACCACTTGCTAGCATTTGATTGTTTTTCCACCATTACCCTAGAGAGGAATAATTTTGGGTTGTGCGCTGCTTGTGTCATCATTTTTTCATGCTTGTAAAATGCTTTACACCTATTATAAATACTCACATCAACACTTCACTTGTGCAGAGTGGAAGGTGGGTATGTTTTCTTCAAGATACCATTTTCACTATTTATATAGTGAAATGAGCTTCTGAACCAAGTAAAGCATGTTTCCCTTCATAATGCCCTTTCTTTTTGCAGGTAACTAATGTGAGGCTATGCTGTTAATTTAAATTAAATGTGAAATTTAATGACATTTGTCTTTGGTAACATGCAGGAACTGTTGAACTGTGTCTATGAGGTACTTTTTTTCTATACTTTATGCACAGGTTTACTGTGAATTGTGTTTTACACAGAGTGAATTTATTGAACTTCTGGTTCATGCATTGTCAGACATTCATTCAACAGTGTAAAATGTCCAGATCAGCTACATCGATGTTTTGGTTCTGCTGGCTCCTCACTTGGTGGTCCTCCTCCGCCCTCTCACTGCTGCTTCTGAGTGTATTGGGCAGACAGATGGGGTTGCAGCTGGGACATGCGATAGTGTGCTCCCATTGGGGTGCACAGAGTGACAAGAGCCTCTCCCAGGATGGAGATGTGATTATCGGTGGACTTTTTAATCTCCATTACATTCCTTCAGCTGTAGATCAGAGCTTCACCAAGATGCCACATTATGAACCGTGCACAGGGTAAAACTTACTTATTACAACATGTATTGTTATTGAATGTCTGGTGGTTATTATGTTGTTCATATTATGGTTATTATGTTGTTCATATCATATTTTGTTGTCATACTTTTTGTTGAAATACAGATAAAAATATAATTAACTAGAAAGTTAAACAATGTTCACATTACTCTTAATGTGTTATATTAGGTCCATTATTAATAAAACATTTAAATCAGAAATCAGAAATACTTTATTGATCCCCGAGGGGAAATCCTTTAAATATATCTGACCTAAGCATATTTACATTATATATATTTAATAGATTTTGCTGTAACACAGTTATGTTGCTGTGTATGACAATTTTGGACATGACAATTATTATTTTTATATTCATGCCCATGATAATTTTTATCTTTATATTTCAGGCTTTTGTTTTATTCACTATGTCTTTCTTCTCCTGTGGTCTCAGTTTAGATCTAGAGTCTTTAAAATATACATACGCTATGCCATTTGCGGTGGAGGAAATCAATAGAAACAACACGCTGCTACCAGGAGTGAAGCTGGGCTACCGTATACATGATAGTTGTTCCCGATACCCCTGGGCTCTGCAAGTTGCATTGTCACTGGTCGGAGGAGACACACACAGATGCAACTTCACAGCCTCTATGTCTCGTTCTGCAGCTCATGAACAACCTGGAGAAACAGCAGGTATGACTTGTTATATTTTTGTATGCAGTTAACATTTGCTGCATTCATGAAAATAACAACTGATATGATTATAGTATGCGAAGTTATTCCTTACGCAGTGGTGAAAGATGTACTTAGATCATTTACTTAAAGTAGAAATACCATAGTCATTACAAGTAAAAGTCCTAGAACTCAAAATGTTACATAGTAGTATTAAAAGCAACATGTACATGTATGTAAAGTATAAAAAGCAAAAGTATGGCTTTTTCCCAATCCTATATTATTATAGAATATAATTTTATTCTGTTTTTCTCACTAATAAATACATATAAGAGTATTTTAAAGTAGTTGGTCAATGTGGAGTCGATATGAGATACGATAGCTGTCAAATAAATGTAGTGGAGTTGAAGTAGAAGGTAACATACAATGGAAATACAATTCAATTCAATTTAGCTTTATTGGCATGAATGTGTAACAACAATATTGCCAAAGCATCATACAAACTACATAAGAACAATCAACCCCATACATTTCATTAAACAAGTAATTAAAGCATATGTGTGTTTGTGTTAAAAAAATAAAAATATATTAAAAATTTAAATAAATAAATAAAACAATAAGCGTGTGTGAGTGTGTGTGTGTGTGAAATAGTCCAATAAAGTACAAGTACCTCAAGTTTGTACTTCAGTACAGTACATGAGTAAATGTGGATAGTTACATTCCAGCCCTGTCCTTATGTAATTATATGTCTAATGGCAGATGGTCAGCCTGTTTCTTTGCTCATTGGTCCTGATGCGTCTACAACAAGCATAATGCTGACCACGATCCTGGGGCCTCTCTCGGTGCCAATTGTGAGTTCATTACCGTAGGAAATAAATCTCTAATGAACTTTTTTTTATACAGTCTACGTCAAAGATAGTGTGATAAAATAGTTTGAAAATGTTTTATAAAAAATAAATGGTATTATTGCTGTAAAAGTAATGTCAAAATAATGTTTGTGTGTCTTTCCCTCAGATCAGCTACTTGGCTAGTTGCCCCTGTTTAAGTGACAGGACCAAGTTTCCTAACTTCTTCAGAACCATCCCCAGTGATATTTACCAAGCCCGGGCCATGGCACGAATGGCCATACGCTTCCACTGGACTTGGATTGGAGCAGTGGTAATAAACAATGATTATGGTCAATTGGCGATACAGGTGTATGTTTTTGTTATTATATTGCCTGAAAAAGTCTCATGTATCTCTTTCATATATAGTACAAATAACATATATGTATGAACATAATTTTTGTTTTAACCTCGATATTTCAGGTCTTTCAAGAAGAGGTTCAGGGGAAAGGGGTGTGTTTGGACTTCATAGAGACTGTCCACAGAGAAACTATTGTGAATGATGCCAGACGTGCAGCACTCACAATTCAAGCCTCAACTGTGAGGGTGATTCTGATATTTTGCTGGTATACAGATGTAAAGGAACTATTTATGGAACTGGCCAAGAGAAACGTGAGCAACTGGCTAGGATGTTTTTATATACCAAGGGGTTCATCATTAAGCAAAGAAATATATTTTGTAAAAACAAAATGTCATTATTTTTTCTTGTTGTAATTTATTTCATTCTCCTCAAACTGTAGGTGACTGACAGACAGTTTCTGGCCAGTGAGGCTTGGAGTACCAGTGATGATCTTTTCCAAGATCGTGCCATCTCTAAAGTGGCAAGTGGTGTTGTTGGTGTTGCCATTCGAAGTTCAGCAATACCTGGATATGAAAATTATCTCAGAAGTTTGCACCCAATTAATCGTCCTGATGATGTATTCTTGCATGAGTTCTGGCAAAAGGAGTTTGGATGCAATCCTGGAACTACACAATCACAGGCAACAGCTTTCTCTTCATATTTCACCTCACCACTCAAAACAAGGTCTGACAATCCGTCAAATGTTTCTATTTCATCTCCTGCTAAGGGGTCCCTTCAGAAAACTTCTCTACCACCCTGCAGTGGGACAGAGTCCCTGGAGGGAGTGGAGCATCCCTTTACTGACACCTCTCAGCTAAGGGTGACATATAATGTCTACCTTGCTGTTTATGCTGCAGCCCACGCCCTTCACCGCCTTCTCTCCTGCCCCGACGGAGACAGCTCTCCCAGAAACAGCTCCACCTGCTCCTCTCCAAAACACATTAAACCCATAGAGGTGTGGACACCAAAGAGGGCTAGTTCTTAAACTGAATAATGTAAATTCATTTTTGCTATTTTTTTTTAAATGTTAACAGCTTCTTCAACATTTGGTTCTTTCAGCTGTTGCAGCACTTGAACAAAGTGAACGTCACCACACCACAAGGGGAAATGTTTCATTTCCAAGGAGCTGATATTCCAGCAATGTACGACCTCGTCAACTGGCAGAACACCCCTAAGGGGCCACTCAAGATAGTTTTGATTGGTCGTGTTGAGGGGCTTGAGCTCCACCTTAATGAGTCAGCTATTCAGTGGAGTACAGGATCCAATCAGGTTGTCAGATCACCAAGTCTCAAGGCTACTACAAAATTTCTGTTGAAATTAATGTTAATGTCGATTCACAGGATTATGTCGTTAAGTATATCAATTGGCCTTTTGTTTAGGTTCCTATTTCAGTGTGCAGTGAGAGCTGCCCCCCAGGTACCCGAATGGCCAACAGGAAAGGGGAGCCTGTCTGCTGCTTTGACTGTATCCCATGTGCTGCAGGGGAGATTAGTAAGACAACTGGTGAGGAAATCAATCCATAAGATAACAGAAACTAATGTTTGCCATCCTAATGTTTACCTTTTTTTTCCTTCCCTCTCTTCTCTTTTCTCTCCCAGGTTCCCTTCACTGTGAGCATTGTCCATTGGAGTTCTGGTCCAATGTTGAACAAACTTCCTGCATCCCTCGCCAGCTGGACTTCCTTGCATTTAATGAAACATTGGGAATTACTCTGACTACAGCAGCTGTGTCTGGTGCTGCGGTGACAGCAGCTGTTTTTGTGGTGTTTCTTTGCTACCGTCAAACACCTATGGTAAGAATCCAGAGTGATATAATAGAGTTTGTTTCACATTTCTTTATTTCATTATTTTATACATGAAAAAGGATTGTATTGTTTAAATGGCCACATCTTTGTCTGTTAATCTGATTCACCTTAAGGTGCGAGCCAACAATTCAGAACTGAGCTTCCTGCTTCTTCTGTCACTGAAGCTCTGCTTCCTGTGCTCACTGGTGTTCATTGGTCGCCCATCAGTCTGGTCTTGTCGGTTCCAGCAGGCAGCTTTTGGGATCAGCTTTGTTCTTTGTGTTTCCTGCCTCCTGGTCAAAACCCTAGTAGTCCTTGCTGTTTTCCGCTCAGCTCGTCCTGGTTCTGAGGCCTTGATGAAGTGGTTTGGTGCTGGCCACCAGAGAGGAAGTGTTTGCCTCTTTACCGGCATACAGGTGTGAATATTGTTTTATTGATTATGTAACCGCTAAGCCTAAGCTTAAAGCAGCTGAGGGCTACGCAGAGGGTTGAAGTGGGCTAGTTGACGTGCTTTGTGGCGCTTTGTTCGGTTCAGAAAGAATGCAACATGATTTAACATATGATTTATTGTTACACAAGGTCTTCAATATCCATAACTGAACAATATTCCATCTTCATCGACACTGTCACAATATCAAACAAACAGCCACAGCATCGGTGGCGGTCAAAAACTAGTTGGCCTTTCCCCTCTGGCAACACCTGTGTCTGATTACACCTACCCTCCTAAATAGATAAGCCCCAATTAGCTATGCCATGACCCTAGTACCACCTACTGGCCAAACCTGGACATAAACATTGAAATGGCTCCTACAGATTAAATGATGAGAACATTTTAATATATGTGTGTTTGTGTGTATATATATGTATATATCAAATAATACAACTGAATTGTGTCTACTTTTTAGGTTATCATCTGTGCCATATGGCTGTCCCTCAGCCCCCCAGTGCCTCGACGTGATTTGGGTTTCCAGGGGTCAAAGGTCACCCTGGAGTGTGCCATGGCCTCTGTGGTGGGCTTCTCTCTGGTTCTGGGTTACATTGGCCTGCTGGCCTGCACCTGCCTCCTCTTGGCCTTTCTTGCTCGGAAACTCCCTGACAACTTCAATGAGGCCAAACTGATCACCTTCAGCATGCTGATATTCTGTGCTGTATGGGTGGCCTTTGTCCCTGCTTACGTTAGCTCTCCTGGGAAGTATGTTGTCGTTGTGGAAATTTTTGCAATCCTGGCCTCTAGCTACGGTTTACTGTTCTGCATTTTTGCCCCCAAATGTTTCATCATTCTCTTGAGGCCTGGCAAAAACACTAGGAAACACCTGATGGCCAGATAGTTTTTCTGGCTTGAATGGGAGCATAATGAATCTTTATCATATTTGTCACCGCTCGGTATCATGCATGTTTTCATGCATATGTGTTGTGTCAATTCCTATCATCTAAATAACGCTAAATGTTAATATGATAATAAACTGCATAAAATGTCTTGCAGCCACACACAGTTATGGATTTCACTGGTCACTGAATATCTAAGAATCTTTCTGCTGTTTTTAAACATCATCAAATGCTAACATAACATATTCACCAAGCATGACATTTTAATTAAATGTTGTTCACTAAAAATGTTATTAATTTATTTTGAATTAATGTGGTTGATTATTCTCTTTTTCTGTGTTTTGATTAAATACTGTTCTTCAACTGAAACAGAAAACACAATGTTTTATTAAAAATTACATTACATTAACAGATAATTTTTTCACTGGAAGCTTTTTTTTATCGTTTACAATTCACGTTTCAGATTGAACTACAGAAAATGTACTACTTCTGTCAGTTGTTAATTCTTAATTCATGCACCGAATAACGACCTCTAGATGGAAGTATTATACCATTTAATGATGCTCTGATGCTTCTTTCCTCATCTCTCAACAAGCTTTTTTTTCCTAGTGCATCTGCAATTATCTTGTGCTGCTGTGCAACATCTTGCTCATTACCTTCTATTCTTTGAAATATTTGTTCAAATAGGAATATACAGTATACGTTCCTATGGTTCATATAGCGTAACCTAAGTACTGTGCAGGATATTCTATTATGTAGTCTAAAAAGTAGAGCTATATTTCTGTCCAAATGCAAATAGCTAATGAACTCTTTAGAATTAGGCAAAGGTAGCCTATGTGTTAAGATTAAACAATAGATATATGGGCAACTGTGATTCAATATTCCACAGAAAAGAAATTGTAGAGCACGTGATTAGTTAGGACTTACAGAGGAATTGCAACATTATATAATAAAAAAGATTTGTGCAAATACTTGAATTCAGCCCATTAGAAAACATAGCTACAGATTAAAGTAGAGCTGCCAATCAGGGTGTGTTGAGTGTGACCTTTACTGTACAATTGTCAGTGCAGAGGGAGTTGAAAGGGTTGTGCGCTTTGTCATGGATATGTATGTGTCAATTTTGGAGTAAAAAATGTAATAATGTATGTCAAGAAATCCTGGACTGCAGTTTAGTATGTTAGCAAAGAAAGTAATGCAGGCTCTTAATTACTACATATAGCACTTTCTATGATGATGATCTATGAGGATAAATAGAATTAGTATAATAATGTAATTTCCCCCCCAAAGCCTATGTCATATCCAATTTTGTTACTAGTGATTTGAGACTGAGTAACAATCACTGCCTTAAGAGGGGGGTGATCGCAGTGACTAGACACAAATGCTGCCACAGTCACCACAGTTACTATGGTTTCACAGAGAGTGCATAGGGAGAAGGCAAAGCCTGTTAATTGCAACCTGTCTTCCTCTTTTCTCTTCTGCTTTCTTTTTCACTCATGTTTTGATAATGCAAACACTGCAATCCAACAGCTGAACTGCAAGCAGCAGTTACTAATTGATCTACTGTGCCACAATCTGCAAAACCATAAAAAACTAGAAAAGCAATTTCTGAAGAAATTGCGGTGTGAATGCTGTCTGCTTACGCTAAACTGAATTGCTGGCTTGAATAAAGTTGAATAGTACAAATGTATGAAAGAAGTGGACTGTTTTTAGGAATGATGAAAGGCTTGCGCTAAACTGAACTGCTGGTTTGAAAAAACTTCAAACTGCACTGATAAATGTAGAACATTTTAAGGTTTGAATGTAGTTTTTAGCTGAAAGCCATGAAGAAGTTGAAGAAATATGAGAAACTCCCCCAATTGTTGTTAAGATATGACCTGAAATATTTAGAAAGGGGTATGAAAACTTCGAAAAGTTTGAAATCGTGTAACTAGTATAAAGGTGACACAAGCGTATCAACTCCCACTGGAGGTCCTTGGTGAGCGGAATGACTCCACAGTATGGAGTTGCACAGATTGATGGGGATGAGTGCGGCTTGGCTCTTCCTAGTATACACGCCCATCTCCACTGTCTTCAGAGCATTGAGGTCCAGATTGATCTGGCTGCTCCAGGACCCCAGATGCTCAGTCTCCCACCTGTGTGATACACCTGCAGGCATGATCAGCTGGGAGAACTTGTCCTGCAGCAGAGCTGGAATAATGTTGTTGAAGGCAGAGTCCACAAACAGTTGCTGGAGGATGTAGTGAAGCGCCATGTTTACTGAGTTGTCTGCATTACATCACGACATCATCTCAATCAGCTGTGTGCTGAGCCAGCATTCCCAGCATGAGATAAGATCCTCATGAAGATGATGTCCGAGATTTGTGTGTCTACTGTCAAAAATGGCTTCACAGCAGCAGTGTAGAAATGTCCACCTTTCTGCCTCTTTCCTGAAACTGCAGCACTTTTTTAGTATGGGAGTCTATGCGGTAGTTGAGTGGGACTCCTCTCACTCTCAAGCTGACTGTACTAGCTGTGAAAGTCTGTTTGCTTTCAAAGTTGGACATGAGCGGCATAACAAGTTTTTCTACAACTTGTGAAAAAATTACGTATGTAGAGTGAAAATTGTGGGAGTTGAAGACAAATCTTTCAGAATATTTTGAAGTGAATTCCCACTGTATCAGTTGGTCCCCTCACTTTAACTCCCAACATTCCGTCTCATCCGCTCCATTTATAAGCTCAGAAAACAGGCTGAAAACGACATGAAACTTGAATTGACATTGTGTAAAAAGTACAAGAGATGTGAAAAAGTTGAATTCACTGGAAAGAGTCCAAAGGTTTGTGAACATTTTAAAGGTGGAATGGTGTTTCTACGTGAATGTATGAATTAGTGGGAAGAGGTTGAAGATCAGTGAGTTTCATTGATTTTCTCAACTTTCATTGTAACAAAGTTTCAAAGAAAGTTGAATAGATTGAAGAGTTTGAATAGGATTTGAAAATTGAATAATTCAAAGAAAGAAGGAAAGATGTGGAATCTTTTCTATTTGGAATGGAGTTTCTAGCTGAAAGTATGAATGAGTAGTTAACACTTGAAAAACCTTGAAAAAGTGAGAAAATGGGGAAATTTTTAACATTCCGTCCATTCACTTGAATGGGGAAAAATGAATACAAGTGCTTGATTCCTAATTGAGCATTCACACCAACTAGAAAAGCAATTTCTGAAGAAATTGCGGTGTGAATGCTGTCTGCTGTATAGCTTGCGCTAAACTGAATTGCTGGCTTGAAAAAAGTAGAATAGTAGAAATATATGAAAGATGTGTAAAGTTTTTAGGAATGATGAAGGGCTTGCGCTAAACTGAATTGCTGGTTTGAACAAATTTGAATAGTACAAATGTATGAAAGATGTGGAAGGTTTTAAGGACTATTGACAAGCTGACGGTACACTGCATTGCTGGGTTTAATGTGCAGAAAGTAGCTGAAGGACTATGAAATCTTGGAAACATGGGAAATGTTCTAAAGAATATGAATAAGCTTTTAAAGTTGAATAAACTTCAAACTGCACTGATAAATGTAGAACATTTTAAGGTTTGAATGTAGTGTAATGTGTTGTGACCTCATTACTTTCTCTATGGCACTCGTAGGGTTACTCCCTACTGTAGAGGGCCACCTGTCCCAGCATGGGATTTAAAGATGGTGCTGGAAACCTTGTAGCACAACCCATTTGACCTGAAATGGCTCCCAAGCCAGCATTATTTTTTTTTTGCCATCATGTAAGCTAAAAGAATGCATTTTACCTCAGTGCATGAGGGGTGCTGCCGCTTACTGGCCAAGTGATGCAAGGCCTGAACCCAGCACCCTAAACGTAATTTCTGAGTCCCAGTCAGCCAACCTATTGAGCTATAACCTTTCCACCCTTCTAAGGCTGGTGAACTGGGGATGAGTGGGCAATCACTGCTATGTCCGCAAGGGCCTTGAAAATGTACCTTTATTGGACATGTGTGCGTTGGACAATGTGGAAAGGTTTTTGGAACTACTTTGTTCTAATGAAAATGGTCCACAGTGAGGTTAGTAACTTATTACAGCATTTTATATGTATCAATCTGAACTTGTGCAATGTTTTTTTTTTCATGACAGTGACCTATATTATTTGGCTCAGTCCCTAGATGCTTCAAGATGAATTTGATATCCTGGGGTTAAAGGTCACCCTGGAGTGTGCCATGGCCTTTGTGGTGGGCTTCTCTCTTGTTCTGGGTTACATTGGCCTGTTGGCCTGCACCTGCCTCCTCTTGGCCAATCTTGCTCAGAATCTCCCCGACAACTTCAATGAGGCCAAATTGATCACCTTCAGTATGCTGATATTCTGTGCTGTTTGGGTCGGCTTTGTTCTTGCTTGCATTCGCTCTCTTGGGAAATATACAATTGCTGTGGAGATTGTTGCAATCCTCACCTCTAGCTATGGCTTACTGTTTTGTATCTTTGCTCCAAGTGTTTCATTATTCTTTTGAGTCCAGACAAAAGAAGAAATACCTGATGGCCAGATAGCAACGAAAACTAACAATGAATCATGTGACTTAAAAAAAATGAGAGCAATATTAATTTAGTCCCCCAAGTTATAATTTTCAATGTACATTTATAATGTACATCAAAAACAGTAATTTCTTCTTTCGGATTGTTCCAAAATTTGACATATATACTATATGTATGCATTTCTGCTGCTATCGTTTCTTTTTGTTTTTGAGTATTTAATGTCATGTGTATTCATGTGGACAAGTAAATAAATGTTGTTTTTCAAGATATTTTTCCAACTTTTCGAAATTGAAAACACAGGCCTTTTTACTTCAAGGTTTACAACAAGGTTTACGACTAACTTGAGAGTTTTGAGAGAAAACTGGAGAGAACAGACAGCATTAGTGTGTCCCTGTATAACTATATTAACAAGGCTATGAACTGAAACTGATCATTTGTAATTTAGGTTTCAAGTCCTTTCACCTTATGTCAGATTGTCATGACAGAGATCTTAGCAGCAGTAGTTAACTTTGCACTGACAGTTTGTTTTAACACGTATTCATATTCCTAAAGTTAAATTAAAGTTAATTAAAGATATTAAAGTATGTATATTAAAGCCTTATATAGTCCAACCTTCTCTCAGCACCCCCAAATGTAACTGACTTGAGTAAGTGAGACCAACCCGGGGATACTGGGGTTGGTTGGCACACTTTTCACTCTGCCTTATTTCTCTGGAATAATTTATCTTCATCAGCAAATGAGAAGTCAAGATCTCAGCTATCAATAAACATGTTTTAATTCAAATACACAAATGGTCACAGAATATTTGATTTTTTTGCGCAAAAATTTTGTTTCAGCTTTTAACTACGGGAATTGTTTGGATTATTTCTATGTTGCACTGTTCCTGATGCTGAAAGTGCACAATGTATTTTAGTTGAAGTCTGAAAATATACCATTACTGATGCAAACCAATTTGAAGCGTGCTCCCAGATGCTTAAGGCTGCCACTGCAATAATCATTTGCAACTGTTGTTGTTTTTCTATCACTCTTGAGAGGAGTTATTTGGGGTTGTATGTGCGTGTGTGCTATCATGTTTACTTGCTTGCAAGAAGGCTTTATATCTCTTATATATACTCACATCAACTGTTCAACTGTTCAGAGAAGGAGGGGGGGTGTCACAGTTTAGATACATTGTTAGTTGTCAACACACATTATATCTGGTGTTTTGAATAGTTGTTTTTCTCTTCATGTAGAAATAGTAACTTTTCCGACTGCATAAGAAGGGATTTGATCTGATTAGACTTTTTCATTGCAGGAACTGTTTATAGATATATATACTGCCTTTGAGAAACAAGCTACCTAACTTTGTATACTGTACTGTACATATTTAAAGTGTCCAGAAGAGCTGCATCCATGTCTTGGTTCTCTTGGCTTTTCACTCTGTGGCCCTCCTCAGTCCCATGCCTGCTCCTTGTGGGGCTTTTGGGCAGACAGCTGGGGCTCAGGGTGGGACTGCAGTGTGTTCAGACAGTGACTTGTTCTCGGTGGGTTACTACTAGCAACCAGGGTCTGTTTCAGGATGGAGATGTGCTTATCGGCGGGCTCTTTATTCTTCATTATGAATCTCCAGCTATAGACAAAGACTTCACTCAGCTGCCTCACTACAAACCTTGCACTGGGTAAAACGCTGAACTCTTACTGTGAATTATTGTAGAATGATAAGAATTAGTAGTATCTTTGTATCTCAGGATTTTCAAAATCAAAATTTTGACTGAAATTTCTTTCTTTCCTTCTTTCATGTGGTCTCAGTTTTGAACAAGATCCATTGCAATATATATATGCCATGGTGTTTGCAGTTGAGGAAATCAATCATAGTAAAACACTGCTACCAGGTGTGAAGCTGGGGTACCATATTTCCGATAGTTGTGGCCCACCGCTATGGGCTCTCCGGGCAGCACTTTCACTAGTTGGAGGAGATAGCACCAGCTGTAATTCAGCAGAGCCTCCAGATTATTCTACGGAGGGAATCAAAGAAAGGACAGGTAGCTTGTTGTTTATCTATAACATACGCTGTTCACAACATAACCGAATGAAATTATACCAACACAAAAGCAAATCTCTGTTTAAGAAATCTTTTAATGCTGTCATCAGGGGATCGTCTCGTTCCCTTGATCATCGGTGGTGCTTCAACCGTAGAAGGCCAGATACTCTCCAGGATCCTGGGTCCACTCTCTGTACCTTTAGTAAGTTTTGTTTTAATACAGAATTAACATTATACAGTAACTTTTTACTCCTTATTTTCAGGGAGCTGGTGCCATCTTTGCTGCACCTTCTTTACACAGGGCACTGCGTAGGACCTCCTTTTACTCTAAACTGCAGTGATTAGTTTCCTTTTAGGGAAGGGACACAACACAGAAATGTTTAAGGATGAAGATAACATGCTTGGATGGAAAACAGTTTGTATACATCTGCTCCTTTTAAGAAAAACTGGCATATTTCAATTGATATAACTAATTATGTGACTTTCAGATCAGCTACTTGGCTAGCTGCCCCTGTCTGAATGACAGGCTTCAGTATCCTAACTTCTTCAGAACCATCCCCAGTGATATTTACCAAGCTCGGGCCATTGCCCAGCTTGCTATACGCTTCAATTGGACCTGGATCGGAGCAGTGATAGCAAACAACGATTATGGCCATGTGGCAATAAAGGTGTTTTCATTTGTTGTTTATTTCTATTCAAGAAATCTACAAAAATACAATATTTGAAAGCTTTTCATTCATTTTATATTTCATGTAATCTTTTTTCTCTTTTGACATGTATATGTCAGGTATTTCAGGAGGAAACTCAGGGGGCAAGGGTGTGTCTGGCATTTGTAGAGACCCTCGACAGGGAAAACATTGTGAGTGATGCCAGGCGAGCAGCACTCACAATTCAGGCCTCTGCTGCAAGGGTGATTCTGATGTTTACCTGGTATACAGATGTGAAGGAACTTTTCATGCAACTAGCTAAGATAAATGTAAGCAAGTGAAGTAAAATTGTATATTGAATCTGTATGTGCAATCCAGAAGTGAGAGATTTTATTTTATTTTTTAAACTTTTTAACTTGATCGTGATCTTGTCTTCTTGCTATCACTAGGAGACTGACAGACAGTTTCTGGCCAGTGAGGCTTGGAGCACCAGTGGAGATCTTCTCCAAAATATTGCCACCTCTAAAGTGGCAAATGGTGTTGTTGGTGTTGCCATTAGAAGTTCAGCCATGCCTGGATTTGAAAATTATCTCAGAAATTTGAATCCAATTCATCATCCGGATGATGAGTTCTTAAAAGAATTCTGGCAAGCCAAATTTGGATGCACTCCTGAGGCCACAAATCTTTTTTCATATTCCCCTTCATCCTTTAAATCTGTAACTCTTACACAAATGTATGGCAAAGGTCATCCATTAAATATTTCTGCTTCATCTCCTGCCAAGGGGTCCCTTCAGAAAGCTTCTCTACCACCCTGCAGTGGGACAGAGTCCCTTGAGGGAGTGGAGCATCCCTTTACAGACACCTCTCAGCTAAGGGTGACATATAATGTCTACCTTGCTGTTTATGCTGCAGCCCACGCCCTTCACCGCCTTCTCTCCTGCCCCGACGGAGACAGCTCTCCCAGAAACAACAGCTCTACCTGCTCTTATTTGAAACACATTGCACCCATAGAGGTAAGCATGGCTATCAGCCATTTCCTGAGGGGGGAGGGAATATAATTTAACCTATGCTTTAAAATTCCACGTCAAATTTCCATGAGTATAGTACTCTAATAATCCATTTATCACAAGCTTAATTTTACATAGGCAGCAGTTACAATATTTTAATTACTTCCCAGCTGTTGCAGCACTTGAACAACGTCAATTTCACCACACCACAAGGGGAAATGTTTTATTTCCAAGGAGCTGATATTCCAGCAAAGTACGACCTTGTCAATTGGCAGAAGACCCTGGAGGGGTCACAAAAACTTGTCTTGATTGGTCGGGTTGATGGGCTTGACCTCCACCTTAATGAATCAGCTATTCAGTGGAGCACAGGATCCAATCAGGTATTAAATAGGTCAACATTGTTGATTCAGATCAATAACAATTTTTTTGTTTATTGAACTTTTGATGTTAGCTAGAATACTTTTATTTGTTATTGAAATTACAGGGTGGTTTATTGTTTAGGTGCCAATTTCAGTATGCAGTAAGAGCTGCCCCCCAGGCACCCGAGAGGCCAACAGGAAAGGAGAACCTCTCTGCTGCTTTGACTGTATCCCATGTGCTGCAGGGGAGATTAGCAATAAAACTGGTGAGGTTTTACAATACAAAACCTAAATAAAAGCAACCCTAAATCCTGAAGATGTCTGATAAATATTCTATGGTCCCCCCTTTATATTTACTCTCTTTTCCCCTCTCCTCTTTTCTCTCCCAGGTTCCCTTCACTGTGAGCGTTGTCCATTGGAGTTCTGGTCCAATGTTGAACGAACTGCCTGCATCCCTCGCCAGCTGGACTTCCTTTCCTTTAATGAAATTTTGGGAATTACCCTGACTACAGCAGCTGTGTTTGGCACCATTGTGACAACAGCTGTGTTTATGGTGTTTCTTTGCTACCGTCAAACACCTATGGTAAGAACCGAATTATGTAAAAGAAATAGTGTTGCCAACTTTGTCACTATGAAATAAGGGACAAAAGGTGGCCTGCTGCAGCAGTACCGGTATGGTTTTGTGTGAATATACAGTGTATTGTTTTAAGCAGTTTTTCATAATGATTGCTAATCTCTTAAATCTCTAATCTGCTAATCTCTGTTAAATATTTGGTAGGTTTAATAATAGTTTATTTACAGCAGGTACCTTTAACACAGTCCTTTAATTAAGCCACTACCTGTTACCTTTACTAATTGTCTAGCACAAAACACTTGTGGCTCTTGCAGATAGGTTACAAAAGGTTATCCCCTTCATGTACATATGACAAACTAAAAAGAACATAGATAGTAGTGATGTGTTTTATTTCCAGTTCATGCAGTTTCATCACTATCTTCATAAAAGTCAAGTAACTTGCACAGCACTCCATCAGACACAGAAAAATATCTCACGCACACTGGAAACATTTTTTTCCATCGTTTCCCTTGTTTGAGGCGTGGGTTGCAACAGAGTACAACACAGGTTCACCTTCAGTCGGGGATTGATCATTCAGGATATCCTGCACAGTCTTTGGTCATAAAACAATCATTGTGAACATCTCAGTTTTCATTCTTACCAAATGCATCTTCTTCACACATTTGAGTCATGAAACAACGCACCGTTTAGCTTAACAAGACAGTCGGTGCGGTTGTAGCTGAGGCTTCATTTGCAGGTATTGTCCACAAGTCAATTTCCACAGTAGCTGCATTCAACGTTACTTAACATATACTGAGGCACGTGAGGGGAGGTTATGATTGGATGAAAGGTGTCGTGACCATTGTCAAGTGTCGTGATCAGCACTGCTGCTGTTGCTGTTGTATCAGTCAGTGGTATGATCAGCATAGTAGCAACGGGACAAGAGAGGTGACATATGGGACAAATCAATTAGGCCTAATATAAGGGACATCCCAGCTAATACGGGACAGTTGGCAACCCTAAAAAGAAACTACACTGCACATGTTTTTCTCATCACTGTGTAGTTGTGGTTATTTATAGTTAGGTCTGTTTCATTTAATTCCCTACCATGGCATTTTTTTCTACATGGTAAAATGGACTGCTACATTAGTTTACAAAATATTAGATTAAATAAATAAATTTATATTAAATATATTAAATATATTAGTGAATGTGCTTTTCTCTTCTTTAATATGACTATAAATCTATGACTCATATACAGGTGCGAGCCAACAATTCAGAACTGAGCTTCCTGCTTCTTCTGTCACTGAAGCTCTGCTTCCTGTGCTCACTGGTGTTCATTGGTCGCCCATCAGTCTGGTCTTGTCGGTTCCAGCAGGCAGCCTTTGGAATCAGCTTTGTTCTTTGTGTTTCCTGCCTCCAAGTCAAGACCATAGTTGTTTTGGCAGCGTTCCGCTCAGCTCGGCCTGGTGCTGAAGCCTTGATTAGGTGGTTTGGTCCTGGCCAACAGAGAGGAAGTGTCTTCCTTCTTACTTGTATACAGGTACTTCAGATGTGCTTTTCATTGTTTTTATATTTACATAAGTTTTGGTATACTATTTACATCAATTTAAACGTATTTTATATTTATTCAGATTATCATCTGTGCCATATGGCTGTCCCTCAGCCCCCCAGTGCCTCAACGTGATTTGGGTTTCCAAGGGTCAAAGGTCACCCTGGAGTGTGCCATGGCCTCTGTGGTGGGCTTCTCTCTGGTTCTGGGTTACATTGGCCTGCTGGCCTGCACCTGCCTCCTCTTGGCCTTTCTTGCTCGAAAACTCCCTGACAACTTCAATGAGGCCAAACTGATCACCTTCAGCATGCTGATATTCTGTGCTGTATGGGTGGCCTTTGTCCCTGCTTACGTTAGCTCTTCTGGGAAATACACTGTTGCTGTGGAGATTTTTGCAATCCTGGCCTCTAGCTACGGTTTACTGTTCTGCATTTTTGCTCCAAAGTGTTTCATCATTCTTCTGAGGCCTGAGAAAAACAATAAGAAACACATTATGGCCAGGTAGCATAGCTAAATTAACTATTTACATATTTTAGTTAATCAAATATGCCCAAATTATCACCGTAGAGCCATTGTTTAGATCCTCTTAGTTTTAATTATTTTTCAATTTGCATGCATTTACTATATGTACTTGTGACAAGTGGTATGTGACAATATAGTTTATAACTCATTTTGAGATTAAATAATTCATTTGAAAAGCTAATTTCATTTTGAAGTGTATTACAGTACTACAGTACTCCATTTTTGGGACATGTAATTTAATTTAATTTAAACATTTATAATAGCTAAAATTTATAATAGAGTTTATATTAACTTTGTCACTGTTTAAAACTATACATCAAGTAATAGGAGGAGGAATACAGATAATACTGATATCCTTGTATGCGTGGGTTAATTGTTCGCTGATGTGTTGGTAATGCCTCGGGGCTCCGGTAGGGGGAGTGAAGGCGAGAGCTGCGTGTGTGTTTCTTCATCCTTTTCCCGTTACTTTTCCCCTTTTTAAGATAATTACCACTCACAAATCACTGTAAACCTAAACACATGTTGATAATATATTTTAGTTGAAAGATGTTTTTGCACTTGTTTGTTGTTCAGAGTTTGTGGTAACACTTTCTATGAAGGTCATCGACTTATGCATATATTTATAACACGATGTAACGCGTCCATAAGAGATTATAACAATTGAAGGCAAGAATCTCTGACCATGTTCAATAGTACATTATAACCACCGACTCTGCCTCGTTATAAATATACTTTAGTCACCATTTACAATTAGTGATATAAAATAGAATAGCAGCTTATAGTAATCTTTAAAGTTATACATCATGTCTTTGTTTGCTTTAAGTAAAGTGTTAAAATGTCCATCCCTGTATAATATATTACAGATGGACATAATACCATGAACTAATTATAAGACCTTGTAATACATAATTGTTTGCTTTAAGTAAAGTGACTCACATTTTGTGCAGGAAAACAACTTTTATTTATGTTTCTTCACTTTATGAACAATCTGTATGAATTTTGAACATTTTGCAGTTTAGCACAAAAACACAACATAATTACATCAAGGACACTCATTCTCGGGGTGGTGAGAAATAGCTCAAGAGAAGACCTGTTACCAACCATATAACATCATGTAAGAGGCTCAGATGTTGTCACAGATGAATGGCGAGCCTATGGACAGGCCCCAACAGATGCAGTGGACAATTAAAGACAACCATTTCACAAAACGTAGCCTATTAAGACATTTTAAAGTATTTGATTGGGAATACTGTTAGCTAGCGCTAACTGCCTTCACTTTTTCAGCAGTTACGGAAACAATAGACTTAATGGAAACACTGTGACCTACACTGCACATGTTCATATTTTCCATAGCATCTCTGCTCTGCTAGAGGTCTGTAGTGCAGAGATATTATGCTACTTTTTATATTGTTACACATATTGAATTTACCCAGTAAAATGTCTTTGTAACTACTTAATTCTTCCAGAAGGCAAACATTTGAGCTGACCGTAAGTGACCAGAGCTGAGCATCAGTAATGATTTTATCATCTGAAGAAGTCTTAATTTAGCAATTCAAAGCAAATTAGAACTACTTGATATAGTCAGGTGTGGTTGTAGAGGCAAACAAAAAACTAACAGGAAAGGACCAGACTACAACTGAGAGGTAAGACTGCAGAAAGGATCATTGATGACTAATCTGCGCTCCATTCAGGACTTGTCCAGAGTCAGGAAACGGGCAGGAACATCACATCAGATTCATCACACCCTGGACACAACCTGTTTCAGCTTTTCCCCTCTGGTAGGGGCTACAGAGTACTGTACTCAAAAAAACGAGAAGGCTTGCTAATAGTTGCTAAAATTACCTTTAATTAGCTACCTTTGATAACATTTTCAATTTATTTTTGACCTGCTATAATCTGCAGCTGCTTTAATTCCTTCCCGCTAATAAATGGTCATGTAACTGGTGTGGTTTGGAGGCTCTGCATGGCCGCAGCTGGATATACTGTTATACCTGCAAGAAAGGGTACAGATTTGTTCTTATTTTTGTTTTAAATCACTTTGTACCCTTTCTGTAGTCAAAAGGTGCACTTCTGGTCTCTTTAAAATCAATATTGTACCTTTGAGGGAACATTCTTGAAAAGTGTACCTGTAAGTACAGAAATGTTCTTGTCTCGTACCTCCATTTTTGAGTGTGTGGGGGCAGTGCTTGAAGTGGAAAATAATAAGTGCCAATATTAATATAGGTAATATTAACATAAATAGCGCCCAGAGAACCTGATATGGAGAGGGCAGAGGAGAGTACCAGCAGCTTGTGAGAAGTGCGAGTACGCATGAAAACCTTCAAGCACTGCTTGGGGGGATATACGTAGGCAGAGGGGCAGAGAAAAATGTCATCATGGTTGTGTGTATGTGTGTACTCTAGTGTAGTTTGTGTCTGTTTTTGCTGCACAGGATGTCTTGTTTGTTCATGTTTATTTTTTTCTGTATATGTCCATTGAGAGTAAGGACGGAGTCAAATTCCTTGTCTCGTATGTGTACACCTGGCCATTAAAAGTGATTCTGATATACAGTATACTTCTGTTTCTGCCTGAGATGTGTTTTTTTTTATTTTTTATTTCATCTTTATTTAATAAGAAATATAATTTACAGACCAAAATCTACAGAAACTCTACATGCTTATACATTTATGCTCACATTCATACCCCAGAACATACATGAGAAGAAAAAAAAAAATATATATATATATACGACAGAAGAATAAATATGAAAAAGATAGGAAAAAAAAAACTACAAGATTTCATATAATTAATTATAATACAGATAGAATATTATTCCATTTTTTATTATATTCATCCAATTTATTTTTGCTTTCTGCTATTATCTTTTCCAAAAGAAGATGAGACCTTATGACATTCTTAAAGTGATCTAAACACAAGCTTGATGATGTTTTTGTTTTAAAAATAAACATTTTCCCTATTAATAAAATGGTATTTAACAAAAGAACACTATCTGTAAAATGACCAAGTACAATAGTTTGTGGTGTTATGGTAAGTTCTATCCTAGCCGTCTTTAACCAAACTTGGACACTTGACCAGAATTTATATACAAATGGACAAAAGTAAAATAAATGCCATAGGTCTTCCTCTTCTTCCTCACAGAATCTGCAATGTGGACTATTTTCAATGTGGTATAAATATAACATTTTTTTAGTTGCAGTTATCTTGTAAAAATTTTCAATTGGAATATTCTTGAATATGAATCTACTGTAGTGTTATAAATTGATCTAAAATATTCTTTCCATGGAATTGGTGCATTAATTTCATCTTCCCAGTATTGGCAGACCCTGTGAGGAAAAAGTGCAAAACCTGCAGAATACAACTTCCAATTATAAATTATTTTATTTATTTTTATATTACATAACCATTTTTTACATCGTACTTTTGGGAGACAAACCAATTGCTTGTGTTTATTTTGTATTTTTTTGTTTCCAGCCAATTGGAATTGCTGAGACAATCTGATTGAATTGATACAAATCCAAACATTCATTAAATTGTATTGAAAAATCATAAAATGAAATAAAGTGACCAGACGTATCTAAGAAGTCATTCAAAAAAATTAAACTATTTTGAATACATATATTCCACAAAAGTGGTTGGTCTCCTATAGTAATTTCAGAATTCATCCACAGTAACTGATTCTGCATATCATCTAAAGTATCAGGAGGATGGTACTGAAAATTCAACCATGCTTTAAGTACGTCTTTAAAAAAGGTGAAAGTTATTTTAATTGATTCCGAAATATTCCTTTGATATGTAATGGTTTTAATTGAAAAAAAAAGGAAATAAATCCGAGCCCAAAAAATAAAAGGATGTGTACAATCTTTTACTGGTAAGCCATTTTCTGTGATTATATATTTTATTAACCCAAGAAGCTTTTATAGAACTATTCATTGCTTGGAGATTTTTTAGATTTAATCCACCATTTTCATATGAATTGTATAAATATTGTCTCTTAATTTTATCTGGTTTACTATTCCATAAAAATTTTAAAATGCTTTGTTCAAAGCATTTAAAAAAGGAATTGTCAGGAGTTGGAAGGGTCATTATTAAATAAACAAATTGGGGGATTACCAATGAGTTAATCAGTGTGACCCTTCCTTGTAATGTAAGTGAGCTGCTCCTCCATGGCTGTAAAATTCTATCTACTTTTTGCATTTTTTTATCGTAATTGTATTTGACAATATTTTGGAAATTGTCTGGTATGTGAATACCTAAAATATCTACAGAGCCATTTGTCCATCTAATAGGAGCAGAACAATTTAAATTGAAATCTGTACCATTTAAAGTCCCTATTCTCAATATATGGCACTTCTCAAAATTTGGTTTCAAACCTGATATTTTTGAAAACATATTTAGATCTGTAATCAAGGATTCCAAAGTAGATTGTTTTGATTGAATAAAAAAGGTTGCATCATCAGCATACATTGTAAGTTTTGTGTCTATACCATTTGGCTTCAAATCTATGATATCTGTATTCTTTCTCATTTTTATTGCTAATATTTTAATACATATCAGGAACAAATATGGTGACAATGGACACCCCTGACGAACCCCTTGTGTTAGGGGAAATCCAGTAGATAAATACCCATTATTTATAACTCTACTGCTGGTATGTTTATAGAGCGTCTCAAACCATTTGATAAAATTCTCTCCAAAATTAAAATAACAAAGACATTTCTTAATAAACTCCCATCTAACTTTATCAAAAGCCTTTTCAAAATCCGCTATAAATAGTAATCCTGGTTGTTGAGTATTTTTATAGAAATCTACAGTGTCAAGTATCTGTCTCAAATTGTCACCAATAAATCTTCCTTTTATAAACCCTACTTGCTCATTCCCTATAATACCATCAATTCCTTTTTTCATTCTTAATGCAATGCATTTGGAAAGAATTCTAGTGTCACAACAGAGCAAGGTCAAAGGCCTCCAATTTCTTAAATGCCT